ACTAAAGATAGATGTAATTTTAGGAAGGCTAGATAGATGTGGAGTATTTAAGGAAACTGTTAGGGGGGATTATTTTCTACCTCATTTTGCTGATTCTATATGTGCATTTGAATCTGAATCTAGTCCATCTAACTTTGATTTTATTGAAATTTGCTCAGGGTTTTACCATATTCCATTGTTAGGTGGAGTTTCAAAATTTCCACCTTGAGGCGCGTTCAATTGGTCTAGCCAAAGACAATAAAGAAAGATGCTGTTTGGGAGGCAACCCAAAGTGTTTAAGTTTATGTTGTGTTTGATTCATTAGTTTAGTTTTGTTATTTGGTGTTGATTTTTAATGTGTGATTTATGTTTTCTTTTAAGGAAAATGGTGTTTTGTAAGCATGGTCATGGATAAGTGCATTTTAGGTTTGCTGGATTAATTTTTTGCAAGTGTTATTTTTCTTAGGCGTGATGATGCCTAAGAGAATAATGGGTTGATTCCTTTTAACTTTGTTTTGTTGTCCAGGGCAGATTCGAACGATGCCTTACACATGATCACGCATAGCACAATTGAAGCTATTTTTTATTTTTTAAAAAAATCAGAAAATTAAAAAAAAAAAATTTATGATTTTTTTCCTTCTTTTTCTTTTGCAGGAACCCTTCAATCCGCAATTCAACCGGCGGACTTCGTCAATCAACCTCCAGGAAAAATAATCCACCACCATCATCAATCGACGTCACCCTTTACTCTGTCGCTGCTTCGCCGTCGGTTCATTTCACTTCTGGCGGCCTTAGTCTCAGCCACCATCGTTGTTCGTCGACGATTCAGTCAATGGCCATCATCAGCTCCAATCCATCGTTGTCTGCCATCTTCCCCAATCAATTCCAACGCCATCAACCATCATCACCGCCGTTCTAATCGCTGCAGCCGTTCCCGTCAGATGCCTCACCACCATCGGCCGCTGTCTCGAGCTCTAGTTGTGCCAGCGGTCATCGCTGGTTGCCACTGCTGTGGTTTTCACCTCAATTCCGGTGACCGTCATCTACAAACAGAACCTACTGCCGCCGTCAGTAGTTACCACCTCCTCATCGCCGGCTATTGCTCTGTTTTCGGACCCTGCGGCTGTTCCGCCGATTGTTGCTGCTCTGCCGTCGATATGCTCCACTTTCGGCAAGCTTTCCTCAATTCTGGCGCTCTCTGCTGCTGCCACCGTTTCCTGTTGCTGCTCATAAGTTCCATCAGACCATCCTTTCATGATCAGTCATCACCGTCGCTTGCTTCATCTTCACTGGTGTCCACCGTGCTTCAATTACGTTTAATCGGCGCCGTCTTGCTGCATTTGACCGTCAGTCAAGCACTTTCATCACCTCCGGCATTTACTAGTTGCTGTTGCTACTCCGTGTCCGACACAAAGGGCTGCTCAGGTTCGTTTTCTCCGCCGCCCAAGTTGGAAAGTTTTCCCAGTGATAGGCTTGGAGTCCAGCGTTGTTGCTGTTGTTGCTGCTACCGACGGCTTCCACCTCTAATTTCAGCGCTTTCAGTTTGGACCAAAATTCTCCAGGAAGTCTCGAATCTTATCTTTTTACAGCAGTTCTAATTTTGTTAATTCTTTTTGCTGCGGTTTTGATGAGGGTTTTCTCTGGAGTATGTTTGTTTTGAATTGGTGCTGAGAGTGTCAATGTTTATATTGTCTTTTATGCTACTTTGAGTTGGTTTTGGATTATGTTTTAGTAATTGCTTTATGGAGATTGAATTTAAGTGAATTGAATTTAAATGTGTTGTTATATCCCACACTATGAAGTCGTGCTTAGCTCCTTGGTTTACTTCTTTTGTGTGCGTACAATAAGCTACATTGAGGACAATGTACAAATTAAGTGTGGGGGAGGGGTTTCTGTTTTCTTTTGTGTGTTTTCTTGTTTTCTTTTGTGTGTTTTTGCGTGTTTTATTAAAAAAAAATTGAAAAATGAAACAAAAAAAAAAATCAAAAAAATGAAAACTACCAAAAATAGGCAATGATGAATTTAACTTGAGTCTGTGCATTATGTGTTATACCCTGAATACTTTATTTGTGCACTTTAACCGTAACTCTGGGATAAACTTAACATATATATGTAATTGCCTAAATTCATGTGATATGCCAAAGTTTGATTTGATTCATTCAGTATTTGTACTATTTGCATGTGGGGCCTTACTATATTATGGAACCCAAAATAAGGCATTAACCCTATCATCACTTCAAACTCGAAAAACGGGGGAGTGGTGGTTTGAAAATAACCTTTTTACCTTCTTGCTTAAAGTACTTTGTACTAAGTAAGTGTGGGGGAGGGGTTGTTGGCGGATGCTTTTCTGAGGTTAGATACAATTTAAAGAGGGAGAAAAGGAAGAGTATTCAATGTTGATGCTAGCCCATTAATAGGTGAAAAGTTTGGCAAACAACTAGTTGAGTGTCCTCAGGCCCGTCGGTGAGAAAATGAGTAAGTAGACTGCTCTAAGTTGCTGAGCCACTATGTAAATTACTACATAAATCAAGTGGAAAAATGCTCTGGGTAGGGGTCTGAGTGGGAAAGATCTTGAAGAAAAGCCATATGGACACTGAAGAATGGGTATGAGGGAAGTGCGTTGAATTGTATTATGTGAGGTGTAATTGTAAGCTTTCGGTTTCATAATATGTGTAGGAGTAACATTGCATTGAATTACAATCTGAATTAGGGATCCTAAGTTCACTTTTCAGTGGAATATTTGCATTTGAATTTTTGTATTTTATGCTATGTGTAACAGTGATGTCCCTAGGGAATGGTTTACATTCACACACAAAGGGCTAAAGGGTAAAAGTACATATGTACTTGACTTAGTTGTGAATTTTTGTTTCGCTGTTACCATGATTTCTTTTGAGTGCTAGAGTTTCTAAGGCACATCATAAATCAGAGAAGTTAAATTTCCTTTGTTCTTTAATGCTTGAGGACAAGCATACTTTAAGTGTGGGGGAATTTGATAGAGTCCATAAATTGTGTTTTAATTGTTCATATCTTATTAGTTTATGGATTTGGATGGATTTAATTCATTAGTTTTATTATTATTTCATGTTAGGAACTGTAAATAAGAGATTGGAGCTGATTTGGGCCACTTTGGACGTTTAGGGACTTAAATGCAAAATTGAAGAAGTTTTGGGACAAAAATAAAAATACTACAAAGTTAAGGGACCAAAGATGAAAATCGTGGTCTAATTCTTCTTTTCCAGCGGCTGACCTAAATTTCCCATATAAATATACTTTTAGTTTTATTTTAGAGGACAGCCATGCATAGGCCAAAGGCTAGCACCTCAAACTTTTTATTTCTTCCAATTTTTCTTGAATTTCTATGGAGAATAAAACCTCCATGTTTCCGTCCATGAGTGGCTAAGGATTTTCTTTCTGATTCAAGGGATTTATTTAGTTATTCCATTATGAGGTTTTGTTCTTAATTTATTGTTCTTGCCTATGATTTAAGTATTTGTTGATTCTTGTATTGAGTTATGAAAGTAGATATCATTCAAATTGACAACTTGATTTGTTATTTATTTTTTTAGTGCTATCTGCTAGTTGAATGTTACGTAATAAACAAAAATCAGTAGTACTGAGCAGCAATTAGACAAAGCATGTGTATTGGTGAGATATTGAATATGCATGTTAGTTTAAATGTGGAATCAATGAGGCAAAGTCTGAATAGTTGCAGCTATCTCAATTGTTTAGAATTTGGTTCAATTATATTTCCTTGGTATTTATGCTGTCATTGTTTGGTATGGAACGCTATCGTGCCCAGCCGAATTATGATAAGGACTAATTGAGTGTTAGGCTTGGTTAGTTAATTTAGGGAAATTAATTGATTTATTACGGCTATCCTAATAGATCTTGGGTTGAATGCTTAAATTGCAAGAGTAGTTTTAGTAGCCTATGATTAATGAAATAATTGAGTTATCCGTCCCTTGAGTTAGAAGTCTGTTACTTTGATTTCTTTTCTTTTATTTAGTTTTTGTTATTTGTATTTCATTATCTTAATTTAGAAAAACAATCCAAAAATCTCCTTTGCATTAATTTGAAGGAAACAATCCATCGTTCCCTGAGGAGACGACCTTACTTCTCTATACTACGTAGTTTGAAGTAGGTTAATTTATTTGTGTGGCTTGACACCCCATCAAACGCACATGTTACAAGATAAATTTTAGGGAGAGTAAAATCAAATTCTGAATTTTTATATTCCTCCTGACATTGATGAACAAAAATAACACAACAAAACCAAACATTAAACATTGGACGGAAAAAATACAATTCATGACGACAAGAAATATCGTAAGGAATTGAAAGTAGAAACATATCGATCACACAGCGTTTTTCTGGCGGGTGCTACAATGGTATAATCATATCCCGTAAAATTCAAGAAAGACTACTTTTACGTGCTTTTATGGCATCGTTTTTCTTTTCTTTTCTTCTTTTTTTTTTTAAATAACTCCTCTAATGAAATAATGTGGAATTTTGTGAAGGTCTGAAATTTAATTAAAAAAGAGTTAACTTAATTTGGACAAAGTAATTGGATGTGACACGAGAGGCCACCCGTCTCATTTTCTTAGTTTCTTTTATTAAATTATAACTATCTCGGTCTAAAGAAAATTTATATTGAGTTTTGAAATTTATACAATTTTTTTTAGTGAAATAACAGAAGATTTATAAGTGAATTGTCTAAACGAAATAATAGAGGGTAGATGAAGAATCGATTGCAAAGGCAATATAGCTGGAGATATATGGAGCCAAAATGATTAGAAACAAAGTAATAATGTGACAGATTGCAAAATGATAGTGTGTAAGTATATGTGACAGACAATCTGACTTTGCAAGTATCTCATTATTAGTATTCATAGCTTATGAAACTACTATTAAAAAGAGGAAGAAAAAAAAAATCCGACACCAAATCAAAAGTACAGATGGATTAAAGATTAAAGTAAGCCCTTCACATGTGAAGTTGTGAATTTTGAGACTTTAAAGCTTCAAACAAACTCTTCCTCCATACATAAATGTTTGCCATACTTTTTGTTTTTGGCTCAAAATCAATGCACCATCATCTCTTACAATAAAACCAACAAAGAAACTGAGATTAATGGCTTCTCCGGCTATCAAATCCTCCTTCAGATATGTCCTTTTCACTTATTTTGTTGTAATATTGATGCCTTCCTTGCTGATGTTGAACAAGGGCACTCATGCTTCGGAAGAGATACTAAAGGCAGAAAAAGACTTTCATTTAGTTGAAGTCAGCTCAATACTCCCGCCCTTAACCTGCAAATCAACTGCTTCGAGAGGTCATTTGTTCACTTCATAACTTCTTGCATCTCCCTAGAGTCTAGATCATTTTCGTAATGCAAAAAGTACGTATATCTTATCAATTCAGACTTTTGTATATGTATTCTTTGATTCTTATTCTTCCATTAACAGTACATTTTCTTAGTGTTCATCCTTGTCTTTCAAGCCTGCTGATTATATTGAAACCTTTGGTTAGACATGTGCCGAAATCTTGTGTAGTTCATTGAGAATGATCAATTCATTTTTTATGGAGAAAATGTGAAAGCTAAGGCCTAAGCATATATACTGAATGCATAGGTAGGACAAATGATCTTTTAATAACGATTTTTCGACCTTGATATTCTATGCGTTTGCTCTCCTAGCTAGTTCAAGAGAGACAATGCATAAATTGAGATGCCACTAATTTTAGAGAAGGGAGTCGGAATGTAAAATGTCAAACGTACTTTTTGAAATTCTTTATACGAAAATTACTCCATATATTTCAAGCGAATAGTACACTTTAAGTTTTTAGTGTTGTACACTTCTGTTCTAAACAAAAATTATTTTGTACAAATTTAAAAACTCAATACAAACTTTTTTTTTTTTGGGATTAAAGTAGTATATAACAGGTTTAATTTTTTGAGATGGTCTTCATTTTTGTTCAATCATACACCCCCACTTGTCCACCCGTAGCTTTAATTCGGTACATATACTACCTGTGAATTGTGATAAAAGACCCGAGGGGGGGTGGTACGGCCATCATTGGACATGCAAAAACATTTAATGCCATGACTAGTTTAAAATGTTAAACTATTTTTCAATTGCTAGCTCGTTTTTTCATGATGATTACGGAAATCAACATCATTTTTAATTTCCCATTAGTCGTGTTTGTAAAGTAATCAAATCTGACACTTTTACTGACAAGGCAGGTCCAAAGGAGAAGTCAACGCTCAAAATTGTCCACAGGAGTGGCCCCTGCTACAATGGAGAATCAATCAGATTAACACTCTCTCAAATCCTCAGTCACGACCAAGCTCGGGTAGCTTCAATCCAATCCAGCCGCCCCGTCTCCATTGCGGAGACAAACGGAATCCGAGACCGGAAAACTTCGATCCCGAATAAGCCCGGATCAGCATACATCGGAACCGACAATTTCAGCAATTACGTCGTCACCGTCGGTCTCGGAACCCCGAAGAAATCCTATACTCTGGTTTTCGACACCGGCAGCGACTTAACATGGACACAATGCCAACCGTGTAAGAAGAAAATTTGTTACAGACAGAATGATCCCATCTACGATCCCCTGCAATCCTTATCTTATTCCAACGTCTCCTGTTCTTCGCCACAATGTTCTCTTCTCATTGCCGGAACCGGGTACAAACCCGGTTGCACCGGGTCGACTTGTGTCTACAGCATTCAGTACGGCGATGAATCCTACTCAGTTGGGCTTTTCGCCAAAGAGACGCTGACTTTGGGAAGTGATTCGATACCCGGGTTTCTCTTCGGTTGCGGGCAGAGCAACCGCGGGTCGTTCGGGAAGAATGACGGGTTATTAGGCCTTGGCCGGAGCAAGATTTCATTGGTATCCCAAACCGCAAAAAAGTACGGGGAAGTGTTTTCTTACTGTCTTCCGACACCGTACGGGTCAAATGGATTTTTGAGTTTCGGGAAAGGAGTTTATTCTTCTTCAAAGACAGTGAAATTCACCCCATTCTCAGCATCTGAGTTAAGTGAGTACTACTATGCCGTTGACCTTGTAAGCATTAGTGTTGGAGGGAAATTATTGCCCATTAGCTTTAAGGTTTTCCAAAAGGCCGGAACTATTGTGGATTCCGGCACGTTCTTTACCTGGCTACCTCCGGCGGCTTACTCTGCTTTGAGCAGAGCTTTTAGAAAACAGATGACGAGCTATAAACAAGTACCTGGAGTTGATGTGATGGATGCTTGCTACGACTTCACGGGTCTAACTTCAATCAAGCTACCCAAAATCAGCTTCATATTTAGAGGAAATGTGACTGTGGATTTAGGTGCTAATGGTATTCTTACCCCGGTAAGTGGCCAAAAGCAGGTTTGCTTGGCATTTGCTGCGAATAGTGATGCTTCTGAGCTGGGGATTTTTGGGAATGTTCAGCAGCAAACTATGCAAATGGTTTTCGATGTTGCTGGAAGAAGGCTGGGTTTCGGACCCCTTGGTGGATGCTCTTAGTTATTGATCATCTATGCTAACCTTAATTGATCCTACAAAAAGGATCTCATTCATTTGTTAAAAGGAAACATCATGTGGTATGTTCAATATTTACTCAAAATGGTGCGTGATTAAGATCCTTTTGGAGAAAAACCAAAAAAATAAGATCCTTTTGGAGTCCAAAACTATGTACTTTTGGTGTTTGTCGACTTAATAGTCGCCTTTGCTAAGAAGACAAACAAGTCGATGACATTAATTTCAACCAAAACAAAATTAAACAATTTGTGACTTTAGATTTACATCAATATACCAAAGAGTATTAAAAAGAATCAACAATAAATCTTACAAAACTGATCAATACTTTATTCTTCAATATATTTTCGCGTTGCATCTAGTTTTTAATCAGTGTGAAAGCCGACCATCAAGTAAAAAATTGATGTGAATGGTGTCCTGTTCGGTCCTTTATGATTTTTCGCATTATACATTGAATGTCGATGCAATCATTCACCACACAATCATGAAAAGAAAATGCAAAAATAATACAAAACCATTTATTTTAGTTTTCGTTGATTTCTAGGAAGACAAAAAAGTTGACGATATCAATTTCATCAAAAGAAGATTAAATATTTTATGAATTTTAAATTGATACCGATAAATCAAAGAGTATAAAAATCAATAATAAGTAGTAAAAATTCAACAATTAATTTTTCAACAATTTGTTAAGAATATTGAATATTGAAAATTGCCCAAGTTCCCTTGTCCCACATTGGAAACGATAGGCTCTTAAATCAATATATAACCACATGTGTTATTCTCCTTATTACTAATTGGTTTAAAGATAGAACCACATGTGGGCCTATATTTGGGCCTTCAATATGGTATCAGAGGGGTTTTATCTGCGGACCCGTGTGACTTGTGGGACGGACTTTGATTGACCTGACAGTGGTCTGATTTACTTACTCGTTTGGGTCTTCTACTTCTACTTACCCAAATCTGGCCCTTCTATTTTTTATTCTTCTACTTACTTATTTATATCTACTTACCCAAATCTGGTTCTTCTATTTCTGATTCTTCTACTTACTTATTTATATCTAGGCCTTTACTGATCCGGCAGTTTATCTCAAATCTGGCCCTTCTATTTTTTATTCTTCTACTTACTTATTTATATCTACTTATCCAAATCTGAGCCTTCTATTTCTGATTTTTCTACTTACTTATTTATATCTAGGCCTTAACTGATCCGACAGTTTATCTCAAATCTGGCTCTTCTATTTCTGATTCTTCTACTTATTTATATCTACTTACCTAAATCTGGCTCTTCTATTTCTGATTCTCCTTATTACTAATTGGTTTAAAGGTAGAACCACATGTGGGCCTATATTTGGGCCTTCAATATGGTATCAGAGGGGTTTTATCTGCGGACCCGTGTGACTTGTGGGACGGACTTTGACTGACCTGACAGTGGTCTGATTTACTTACTCGTTTGGGTCTTCTACTTCTACTTACCCAAATCTGGGCCTTCTATTTCTGATTCTTCTACTTACTTATTTATATCTACTATATCTAGGCCTTTACTGATCCGGCAGTTTATCCGGTTTGTCCAAATCCTTTACTTACTCGTTTGGATCTTCTACTTCTACTTACCCAAATCTGGCCCTTCTATTTTTTATTCTTCTACTTACTTATTTATATCTACTTACCCAAATCTGGGTCTTCTATTTCTGATTCTTCTACTTACTTATTTATATCTAGGCCTTTACTGATCCGGCAGTTTATCTCAAATCTGGCCCTTTTATTTTTTATTCTTCCACTTACTTATTTATATCTACTTACCCAAATCTGAGCCTTCTATTTCTGATTCTTCTACTTACTTATTTATATCTAGGCCTTAACTGATCCGACAGTTTATCTCAAATCTGGCTCTTCTATTTCTGATTCTTCTACTTATTTATATCTACTTACCCAAATCTAGGCTTTCTATTTTTTATTCTTCTACTTACTTATTTATATCTAGGCCTTTACTGATCCGGCAGTTTATCTGATTTGTCCAAACCCTTCAGGCTTGAGAGGAGGTATTAAGAATATTGAATATTGAGAATGCCCAAATTCCATTGTCCTACATTGAAAATGGTGGACTCTTGAAACCAATATATAACCACATGTGCTAAACTCTAAATGGTTTTAAAGTGGAATCATATGTGGGCCTATATTTGGGTTTTTAAGATAATTTTGATATTGTCTAGTTTTTAGTAGCGTGACAAATATCGGGGGCGAAGTAAAATTTGTGAGCCTAACACAGCGTCTCCTTTGTCTTTCAAGACTCATATATTGAATTTTATTTGCTTACCAATAAAATGTGAGCCTAATTTTATACATGTATATAGACTGATAATACGTCAGAAGTTGTGACTCGAGTGAGGTACATTTCCTTAAGTCAAATGATGACATTTCAATTAATTTTTATATCTTAATTTAATTTGGAACGATTGGAATGTTGCAGAAAATTTACGACTTTTTAAGTCTCTTTCTGTATAGACCAGGGCAAAATCGTGATAAGGCTATGTTGAGGAAAGGATCCAAAGTAAATAATATTGAGGGCGTCTTAAGTTTTGTGCCATCTCGTCCTGCAGTATTTCAATCTTTCATAGAAAGACCTTGTGGAATTGATGCTGAGAGCTTGAAGGATTTTTTATGTGGTCATTGATTTTTTTTTTTTTGGTTTCCCAAGGTATCTCTCCCCGATAGCAAGAAGACTAATCCTCTGTCCCTACAGTCAGCGCACTAAGTGGTAGGGGACTGACCAAATAATTTATTCCATTCACATAGTCGGGGATCGAAACCCTGAAATCTCATGCTGAAGGGACTAGGTGTGCTGAACCACCATGCCAACCATGTTGGTTACAACTTTTGCATGAATACGTTACAACTTACATATATACAAAATGCATTTTTAGAGGTTCAAGACTAATATGTGGGAAAAGTGTACGTGAATACTGCCATGTTATCTTGGATATCATTTGTCATAAAGTGCATAGAAGATCAAGAGGAGAATGATCAGAAAGTGCATAGAAGGAGCCGATAAGTGCATTAACAAATAATAGAAAGAATCAATGATTGAATGAGAATGAAGAATATTGAAAATGACAGAGGACTGAGGAACGATCGATCGAACGAAAAAGTCAATAGCAGAATAAACAGAAATGATTAGAAAGGAATAATTTGACAGGTTGCAAATACTGATGAGTGTGTAAAGCATGTGTGAGACAGACATTAACGCCCTCCCATATCATTACTACAGTTCACAGATTCATTATGGAAGAAATTAGAAAGTGACACCGAATCGAAAGCATAATCAAAGATTAGACTGATCCATGAACATGTGAGATATTATCAGGTTTTGTGGACTTCTAATAAACTCAAACAATGAACTCTATGTCTCTCTATATAAATCTACATTTGAACCAATGTCTCATACAAATAAGCGTAGCTACTAAAGGAAACAATATGGCTTCCTCGGCTTTTATCCCCACCTTCAAATTTGTCCACTTCACTTATTTTGTTTTAATCTTGTTGCCTTTCTTGCTGGTGAAGGGGAGTGATGCTTCTGAAACGACAGATAGCGATTTCCATTCAGTTGAAGTCAGCTCCTTACTGTTATCTCAAACCTGCAACTCATCCACTTCGGCAGGTCAGAATTTCAACTTTGTTATTCTTATTAATCATTCTGTCTCGTCTAGGTTGTTTTTGTAATCTGAAAAGTAATCCTTTTTGTTTTAATTGCGTTAGAACACTTGTAAGGCAACTCCTTGTTCAATTTATCAATTATCATGACTGCAAACCTTGATGCATTACGGAAAATTGAATCCAACTACATAAAGAACATCGAACTTTCTTAGAAGCAAGCATCTTTCGTTCTTCTTCTTTTTTTTTTTTTTTTTGTATTTGCATGTCTTTCGTCTCCTAATGATAGATGTATATAGGAGAAGGTGGTGAATGTTAAAATAATTAAACTAGCCGGACTGTAATTTCGATATTCTCATTGAAAATTGAGTTTTAATTAATAAAGAAAATTTTAAAAGTTTAATTCTTGAGGTGGTGTAATTAATTTAGTCGTGTTCCATCATGTTGCCACCGTCTTCCAATCATTTGGCGTTCAATCATTGCTATAAAACTGCGTCGAACATGCATACGCCTAGTTTAGTTCCTTGATTATACATCATTAGACTATTTTCCATGTGAATTTCAACATCATTAATTCTCACCCATGTATACATGTGGACTAATTAATCAAACCTGACAACATTCTCTATCAATCATGCAGCTCCCACCGGAAAGTCAACGCTCCAAATAGTTGACAGAAATGGCGCCTGCTATAACGGAGAATCAACCAAATTAACACTCCCTCAAATCCTAAGCCACGACGAAGCTCGGGTGGCTTCAATCCAGTCCCGCCACGCTTCTGTTTCGGAAACAAACGGAATCGAAGACCGGAAAACCGCGATCCCGGGTAAGCCCGGAACAAGCTACGGAACCGGCAATTACATCGTGACCGTTGGACTCGGCACCCCGAAGAGATACTACAACCTTGTTTTCGATACGGGAAGCGATCTGACCTGGACACAATGCCGGCCGTGTACGAGGTTTTGCTACCCGCAGAATGATCCCATCTTCAATCCTCGGTTATCCTCAACTTATTCCGGCATCTCGTGTTCTTCACCGCAGTGTTCTCTGCTCGTTTATGGAACCGGAAACCGGCCCGGCTGCTCAGGTTCGACTTGCGTCTACGGTATCCAGTACGGAGACAAGTCATCCTCAACCGGGTTCTTCGCTAAAGAAACGTTGTCGTTAGGCCGGGATGTTTTACCCGGTTTTCTCTTCGGGTGCGGACAGGACAACCGCGGGTTATTCGGAAGGACTGCCGGTTTATTAGGCCTTGGTCGGAGCCAGATTTCGTTGGTGTCCCAAACTGCCAGGAAATACGGGAGAGTTTTTTCATACTGCCTTCCCACTTGGTCCGGGGCAAATGGATATCTAAGCTTCGGGAAACCGGTTACGGGATTTCCAAGAACGGTTCAGTTCACTCCATTTTCGGCTTCAAGACTGAACACACATTATTATGCCGTGGATCTCGTAGGCATCAGCGTCGGAGGAAAACTATTGCCCATCAGCGCGACGGTGTTCCAGGCTGCCGGGATGATAGTTGACTCCGGCACGGTCATAACGAGGTTACCTCCGGCGGCTTACTCTGCGTTGCGCAATGCTTTTAGAGTACAGATGAGGAGGTATAAACTCGCGCCGGCGTTTTCCCTGTTGGATACCTGTTATGATTTCGGGGGTCTGGCTTCTGTTGCTGTACCCAAAATCAGCTTCATTTTCAGGGGAAATGCCGTTGTGAATTTGGGTACTGGTAGCATACTTGTGACTGCCAGTCAAACACAGGTTTGTTTGGCGTTTGCTGGAAATATAAGCCCTACTGATCCGGGAATTTTCGGTAATGTACAGCAACAAACTAAGGAAGTGGTGTTTGATGTTGCTGGTGGAAGAGTAGGATTTGGACCCGGCAGATGCTCTTAAGGCCTTTCACCAAAGGATCGTACGTGTGGATGATCCATCTCACTTAGCGTAAGAAATCAAATTAAAGATATTCTTGTAAGATCAAGTGTTCACGCTGTAAATGCGAAATGGTTGAACGTTTATACATTGACCGAACCAGGAGACTAGCTGTGGCAGTCGCACCTTGTCGGACACAACCATATTTGTAAACTTTCCAGCATTAGTTAGTCTCTCAATGCATCAAGCTTTATTATTATTGTATACAGTCATACAAACTATAAACTTTAATGACTAAACAAAGGTTACACGGAATGTCCTAGCAATGCGATGCTCGCATATGTAATGGAATTACAAACGGAAACAACCGTAAACTATTATTGTGAGACCTTTATTTCAAACATGTTTATACATGTCAAATAGAGATTACTTTTTAAATATAATACGTTTGTAGTAGGTCGTCTAAAGTTATTTGAATAAGTAATTAAATGATAAATAGTTATGGATACGAGGGCTGAGTGGGAGGAATGCAAAGTCAATGTAGGAAGAAGCCGAATAAGCACCCCAAAATGATTATTATTACCAATTGCAGTTTAAAGGGAACGTACCAAGAAAGTGATACCAAGTCAAAATTACGGAGAGTAAGATTAAAATAAACCATGCACATGCAGGCAGCAGGTTCGTGACTTTCAAAGTTTCACCCTGCACTGTAATACGTATTTACATTGAGTAGCCAAATCGCACCATCTCTTACAGTTACAATAGGCCTAGCCGGAAAAAGAAAAAAAAATCTGATTAATGGCTTCTGGGGCTTTCATATCCTCTTCTAAGTTAGTTTTCTTCACTTGTTTTTTTCTAGTCTGGAGGTCTTCCTCGCTGATAACAACGGGTACTGCTTCAGAAGAGAAACTAGAGGCGGCAGCGGAAAAACAACTTCCATTCAGTTAAAATCAGCTCAATACTGCCATCCTTAACCTGCAAATCATCTACTGTAAGAGGTCATTAATTCAACCTTTTATACTCCTTATATATCTCTCTCACTTAGCTTGTAATTCATATTAATTTATAGTGCACAAGTATGGCCCTTGTTACCGAGGAGAGTTAACCAAATTAACACTCTCTCAAATTCTCAGTCAAGACCAACCTCGGGTGGCTTCAATCCAATCCCGCCATGCTTCTACTTCAACAAATACAAACGGAATCCCGCAGGAACGGAAAACTACAACCCTTCCGGGTAAATTAAGCCCCGGAATCGGCAATTACGTCGTCACCGTTGGTCTCGGCACCCCACCAAAAAACTACACTCTGGAATTCGACACCGGAAGTGAGCTAACATGGACACAATGCCAACCTTGTACCGGAATTTGCTACCTACAAAACGATCCCATTTTCGACCCAAAAAAATCGTCCACATATTCCAACATTTCGTGTTCATCACCGCAATGTTCTCTGCTTGTCTCCCGCTACCGGAAAGAAACCGACTTCTACCGTTCGACTTGTGGATACAGCGAGGTCATACTCAGACGGGTTTTTCGCTAAAGAGACGCTGACTCTATCCAAGGATGTTTTCCTGGGGTTTCTCTTCGGTTGCGGGCAGGGCAACGACGGGTCGTTCGGCGGGACTGCCAGGTTATTAGGCCTTGGCCGGAGCCAGATATCGGTTGTTTCCCAAACTGCTAAAAAGTACGGAAAAGTGTTTTCCTACTGCCTTCCCACATGGTCCAGATCAAATGGAAATTTAAGTTTCGGGAAACCCGTATCCGGATTTCCCTAGACAATGAAGTTCACACCGTTTTCAATCTTCAAATCAAGTAAGAGCTTTTATTACGTCGACATTGTAGGCATCAGTGTTGGAGGAAAACTATTGCCCATTGGCGAAGGTCTTCTCCAGACAGCCGGAACCATAGTGGACTCCGGCACCGTCGTAACCCGGCTACCTCCGGCAGCTTACCTTGCATTGCGTAACGCATTTAGACAACAGGTGAAGAAGAATAAACTCGCACGCCCGTATTCGATACTGGATACTTGTTACGAATTCGGGTCTCATGAGCCCGTTGTGGTTGTACCCAAGATCGGGTTTGTTTTTAAGGGAAATGTTAGTGTGGATATAGGTATCGGTGGGATACTTGTCCCTGCCACTTTAATGCAGGTTTGCTTGGCATTTGCTAGCAACGGTGGGGATAATTTTTGACCCGGTCATTTTCGGCAACATGCAACAGCAAACATTGCAAATGGTTTTTGACGCTGCCGGATCAAGGCTCGGATTCCGACCTGGTGGATGCTCTTAATTATTAGTGGTAGACTTAGAGACACTGCTAATTTTTTTTAGTCTTGTTCCTTAATCCAATCTCTGTTGCATCTCTCATCTGTCATAACTCATAAGACAAATAACTGAATTAATGAGCGATATAAGTAGTACTGCGAAATGATTTCAAGCTTTGAAACTCTCAATATGAATTAATATATCGCTTATGATTTTAATCTTATTAATTGCCCAACTGTTCCATGAATCCCTTCATCTCAATTAAAATGTTTGTCTAATATGTGTCTTTTATTAGAAATTACTATGATTCATTTCAACTTTTGGTGTTAATCCCCAGTCTTTGGTGTTAATAATAAATTTGCATAGAGCTAGTTTCGTAGACTCACAGACAAATAAAATTACAACATTCAAATAAAAGCACTATAATGTGTGATATGTGAGGCAGGTTTTAGAAAAATAGTCTGCATGATTCTATTTTAATTTAATAAAATAAATTATTTTTCGGTGATGGAATAGGTAACATTTAAGATTTATAAACTGGAGATCATTTACCGGAGAACTGATAACCTTTAGTTCCCCTGTTTTGTCTATATTTTAATTCTTCGAAAAAAAGAAAAAGAAGAAAAAGCTTGTTATCCATGCGGAGAATCGATGAATATGAGTTTATGCCTGTAAGTCCAAGAAGTCCTTACAGAAATTTGTCTCCTCGCGAGGACTGCTTTGTTTAAACCCTCTCCTAACAATGGAAGAGGTAATAATCTTATTTTCAGGTACAAGGAAAGGAGGCTTAAAAGCTATATGCAACTTGTAAACTCTCATTTAACTTCGATTCATGAATGTCTAAAATGCCGACTTAACTAAAGATTTACTTATGTATCAATTCAGCAGTCGTTTATGTGATGTACGCCCCCAATTTATGTGAATTGACCGTCCCTTCTATCACTATTTACTTTTCTCTCGTCAGATTTTAAGCGATTTGTCTCATCGAACAATTCCACCCCGATGATTGGTACACAGTCCCACTATTTCATCGAAAGTTCTCTCATTTAATTTCCAAATGCATATGATGCTTACTATGACGATTTATTAAACAGTCTCCAATATCAATTAACTTAAAATAACAACTATAAATACTCCATCCGGTCCTTAATATAAGACATTTTGATTTGTACTAGGTTTCACATAGTATATATTTTTAATTAACAAATAAATTTTTAAAATATTTCTTAATAATTAAGAGAACACAATAAATGTAAAAATATATTTTTAAGATTTTTCTTTTAATTAAAAATACATATTAGGTGAACCATATGACAAATCAAAATATCTTATATTAAGAACCGGAAAGAGTAGTAGATAAGTCAGTAGTACCTGATGAGACTCTGACATCTTGTAGATGAACAAAATTGAATAGAAATTGACTACATAAAATTCGAGTCTTACGAAAATTATTCTGGTACATTATTTGAGCCAGTGTATACACACGAATATGCTGCAATGATAAAATGACCAATTCATTGCAGTTCCAACTCATAGATAATCTTAATGGACCACTTGTTAAGAAAACTCTTAAATAATAAAGTAAACTAATTAAAATGATCGACAAAGCAACAAGACAAACTAAAATCAATTTGATTAATTTAGCTTGACTAGTTGACGCTTATAAGTTATAATTATTATTAAGCAAGTCAACTACACACATTTTGTATATATATATATATATATATATATATATTCAAGTTATACATAATTCTAAGGGGAAAAAAATGATATTTATGAACATAGATAATTTGTCAACGTTTAGAAAAAACAGATAAGTCAATATCCACAATGGCTTGTTTTCCATTTCCATACAATGAACAAGTACGTATTTGCACGCAGGAATGAAAGCAAAGATGATTCCCGAAAACGGACCTAACACCAAACCAGTTTTCTCTTCTCCTACATGTCTATATTCTCTCCGATAATAATTAAGTTAAATAACCACGTCTTGTGTAATAGAAAACGAACTAAGCGACGACTTGAAAGATGAAATATTACTTTATGATTCAAATTATAAAAATAACAAATTAATCAAAACAGGATAACATAAATAAAGCAGGCTTAATTATATCCTAAAACAGCCCCGGCCTTTTATATATTTTGAGACTGATGGAGTCATAGAAAGAAGTTGAGAGTAGACATATATTGGTAAAAATGGACTATGAGAAGAGCTACCCGAAAAACTTTTCTATAGAAAAGAACCGCTTACATTTTACGGATGAAATATCTAGTGTTACAAATTGTATGGGTAAGAGAACTGCAACAATAAAGAGTAACTAAGTGAATGAATGAAGACATAAATGAAAGAAAAATAAAGAATGAAAAAAAGAAAAAGTCAATAGAATAGGAAGCCGAAGAAATGATTGCATTAGAAAGGAATAATTTCACATTTTTCAAAATGTGTATGTAAGCATGTACCCTAATGACGATCATTAATATCAGAATACAATTCTCACGGCTCATGGAATTATTATGTGAAAATGATGTTAAGTCAAATGTAGAACCAAAGATTAAAATAAGCCATGCAGAGTTTGTAACTTTCAAGCTTCAATCTTCGTTCCTCTATATAAATGTAATACCTACATTGTCTCAAACACCAATATTTCTCGCAATTAGCCTAACCTAAAAGAAAAGAAAAAGGAACAGGTTAATGGCTTCTCCGGCGCATTTCATACCCTCCTTCAAATTTGCTCTCTACGTTTATTTAGTTCTACTTTCGATATCTTTCTCCGGCGCTTCAGAAGATACATTAACGGCCGACAGCAACAACTTCCATTCAGTTGACGCCGGCTCGATTCTACCATCCTTAATTTGCCAATCATCCACTTCCAAAGGTCAATATTTTCTCTATGATTAAATTCATTTGTTCATCTGATTTTGTTACTTGATGATTTGCCAACATAAGAAGACTCATGTTGGTTGTGCCGTTTTACTTCAATAAACGAAAATGTTATTGTGAAACGAAAGCAGTAATTTTTCAAAAATATATACATATTGAATCATCTTGGTAGACAATTTTGCACTACTTAACTGTTGTTAATTTCTTTGAGCAACATAAATTGTAATATTTGTTGGTTTCTTTCTAGACTCCTTTATGAATTAAGCTAGCTATGCAACTCGTCCTGCTTGTTCAAAATACAGAAGTCCATGGGGTTCTGCTTATTCAAAATACAGAAGCCCATGGGGTTTCACCTCAAAACCAATTGGCCATGAGGGGAGTAAATCATGTATTTTTATATTAATATTCAGTCTCTCCTAGTACCGATGTGGGACTGGGATTCTCAATACTCCCCCGCAAGCCCAATGTATTTTTGGGGTTGGGCTTGGCCTGTTTTTTTCAGCTTAGGCACCGCTTTACGTTTCAGCTCTATTTTTTTGTTGGGCTTTTTTTTTGGAGTCTAAATGTCGGCATACAGAAGTCCATGGGTTCTACCTCAAAACCAATTGGCAATGAGGGGAGTAGCTCATGTACTTTTATATTGATATTCAGTCTCTTTCAGTACCGATGTGGGACTGGGATTCTCAATACAAAATTGATTCATTTTGCATTAACCAAAAAGCGAAAAAAGTTTTATAGTTAATTAATTTGAATATTGTACTTCAAGAAAAAGTACTGTAAAATTGGCATGACTTTTACCTAATGTCTTAGTTGACCAAGAGGAAGTGACATTAAGAGAAAAAAGACTTACGCAATCATCAACCACCCAATAATAAATTGCAATAGCTAGACTCTTACCATTCTCCCAGTTTTACAAAACCTTATACCAAGCATGTATCATGCATGATTAGCCTATTAGTTATTCCGTCCAAAAATCGTAGTTTAATTTTTTGAATTAATGTTTGGAGCAAAGATAGAGCATGTTTTATGCATCATCTATCTCCGTTATCATCTTTCTCGAATTCACCTAAATCTTTCACAACAACCCTTGTAACAGTTGAATTTTTTCAATGACCAGGTTCCAGTAGTAAGTCAACGTTGAATTTAGTAAACAAGTATGGCCCTTGCTATAGAGGAGAGTCAACGAAGTTAACGTTGGCTCAAATCCTGAGCAAGGACCAAGCTCGGGTGGCCTCAATCCAGTTCCGCCTCGCATCTTCTCTAAACACAAGCGGAATCTTAGACCACAAAAGCACAACACTCCCGGGAAAGACCGGAGCTTCTCTCGAAACCGGCAACTACGTGGTCACCGTCGGCCTTGGAACCCCGAAGAAACCCTACACTTTGGTTTTCGACACCGGAAGCGACCTAACCTGGACACAATGCCAACCATGCCTCGCATCTTGCTACCAACAAATCGATCCCATCTACAACCCGAAGCTCTCCTCCACGTATTCACCCGTCTCGTGTTTCGCGCCGCAGTGCGGTTGGCTCGTCTACGGAACTGGAAACAACCCGGGTTGCTACGGCGGTTCAACTTGCGTCTACACTATCAGGTACGGCGACCAATCATTCTCTCAGGGATTTTTCGCTAAAGAGACGCTATCTTTAGCGACGGACGTTTTCCCCGGATTCCTATTCGGTTGCGGGCAGAACAACCAAGGATTATTCGGGAAGACCGACGGATTATTAGGCCTTGGAAAGAGCCAGGTTTCGTTGGTATCACAAACAGCTTGGAAATATGGGAAAGTGTTTTCATACTGCCTTCCATCGTGGTCGGGATCAAACGGATATTTAAGCTTCGGGAAACCCTTGTACGGATTTCCTAAAACCGTGAAATTCACCCCCTTCTCGACGTCCAGACTGACCCGTTTCTATTACGCCGTGGATCTTGTCGGCATAACCGTGGGAGGGAAACTATTGCCTATCAGCTTAAAGGTTTTCCAGACGGCCGGAACAATAGTTGACTCCGGCACGGTTATTACCCGGTTACCTCCTGCGGCTTACTCAGCGTTGCGTACCGCTTTTAGACAGGGAATGACACAGTATAAACTGGCACCGGCGTTTTCATTGCTGGATACTTGTTACGATTTCTCCGGTTTATCGACCATAAATATTCCGAAAATCAGCTTCCTTTTCAAAGGGTCCGCAAATGTGGATTTGGGAATCAGTGGGATACTTGTTGCTGCGAGCTCAAACCAGGTTTGCTTGGCATTTGCCGGAAATGGAGCTGCTACTGATCCCGGGATTTTCGGGAATATTCAACAGCAGAAACTGCAAGTTGTTTATGATGTTGCTGGTGCCAGGGTTGGATTTGGTCCTGGTGGATGTTCTTAATAACTAAGTCATTTGGTGAACAATTAAACTGAGCCGAATTGTTCAGTCTGAAGGGCATGGGTTTCTTTCTTTTTTTTTTTTTGTTTTTCTTTTGTTTTTAATTGTTTCTAGTAATCAATCAGGCAGAATGGCCTGGCATGCTTGACTATCTCCCTTACGAGTTAGCGGGTGAATCATGTGAATAACCAGTTGTCTAGATGTGTAATTTCCCATCATTATTTCTCTTTCAATATTTCATCCAGCTACGTTGGCTAATAAAATTAATACACTCCGAAAATGTATGATTGTGCAGATTAAGTTTTATTTTAGTATGAAATAAAAATTCAAACAGAATAATTATAACCTAAGTGTACTAACTAGCGAGTATGTCTGTTACCCTATTTCAATTTTCCTACTCTTTTTTTCAAGAATTTCTCTGTGACTAGTGTAACATGTTTATGGCGATCGAAGCACATGTACAATAATGACCGATTCCTTGGCGAAATGGCCAGCGAGCTTTTTTTTTTTTTTTTTGCCCCCTTTATTCTCTAGTTTTCCAAGAAAGGTTCGTGGAATGTTGATCGTAGGTCAAAAGAGTTATACTTATCTGCGTATTTTGTGACTTGAAATCGATGTAAGAATTTCGATTCTTCCTGTAGGCTGTATATCGTTTGCATGTGTTTCGTCACTGAGGACTGTAAATTAGGACAGATCCTCCTTTCTTGAAGATACATCCAAATCACTGGATTTTCTTATACTTTTGTCGCAATCAATCAGATAATTCGAAACTAAAAATGAATGTAATCCCCCCGTCCCATAATTTGTACAGTTTAGGTTTTCATTTTTAGTTCAAATTATACTAAAAGTAAAATCTCAAACTGGACAATAATTTTAGAACAGAGAGAGTAAAAGAAAAATCCCAATGTATCATGAGCGGCCATGAATATACTCCCTCTGTCCTAAAATTATTGTCCAGTTTGAGATTTCACTTTCAGTACAATTTGAACTAAAAATAAAAACTCAAACTGGACAATAATTATGGGACGGAGGGAGTATTATATTTTCACTACTTCGGTAAAATTATTCGTTATGGAATATAATTTTTTTAACCAAACATCCAATTTTATGTTGCAATTTTGTACAAGAAGACAACACAGAACATTCATCCACTGACAGAATAACCTGTTTGAACTGACCTTGTAATTAAAGTTAATAATTGGTAGATCTGCCCATACGCCCGTTCAATTCGATCAGATTTGGCAGACAAACAAGTCTTTCTTTTTCCTTTTTTTTTTCTTTTTTTTTTGGGATGTTCGGTGGGAACAAAAAGGAGATTTTAACCGGCAGCTGAGATTTATTGTTGGAATTAAGAAGTTGTCTGTCATGTTGCTGCCATGATCAAACCTAAAGTAATCAATTTATTCAACTGAGGACAGATCTCGTTGGACAGGTTGTCGTGATCCCATATATGCAAGTGGTAAATAGTGTTACCAATAATATACAATTAATGATTTGTGAAAACTGTTTTTACGGTGAAATGAAATAATCATTCATAAATAATTGACGAACCGAGAAATCGCCAAATTAAAATCAAATATAAGGATAGACTAAAATCTAAAAGACAAAATCATAGAATCATATGCGACTAACTTTAACAGGGACAAATTGTGTATACTACTTGTGTCATAATAATTACTATCTCATTTGGAAAAATTGGCAGATCTACCCAAAATTTTACATGCTTCGTTAATCTTACTCTATTCTTTTTTTGTTAGCCAATATTACCTTAAACTATTCAACCGTTAGCCGATTTTGTCCAATTTGCTATTTTCCGTCTAAATTAACGGAATTCTATTTGTTTTAATTATAAAACACCCTAATAGTTTTAAAAATTTATAAAAATAATCCCACAAATTTATAAAAATTATAAAATAGTCTATTTTCAGTTTTTATTTAAAATTTTCTGTTTTTTATTTCTTTTTACTATTTTTCATAACTATAAAAATATATTATATGATCTTTTAAAAAAAAATTTATTTTTAAACTTTAATGTACAAATTTTTAATTACATATTTGTAAGTCATGTTTGATTTACACGAGCATATTAATTTTTTAATAATATGGTTTTACAATAATGATACTATTTTTTATTTTATCCATTTTTTTCAATCTAAAGAATAAGATTATTTAACTAATACTAATTTTTCACAAAAAAATTAAACAATTCGCATAGATTAAAAAGAATCTATTGGTATACTTTAAGGTATTACAATTTAATTTAACTGACTTTAGATTGTATTTTAAAATTTAAAAAGAAATCAAAACTAAAATATAAATCTTTTTTAAAAGACCAAGTACAGACAGAAAGTAAAAAAAAAAAACACATATTTCGTTTCTACGTTGGCCCAACACAAGAATATAGTGTCGTGGCATTTACAAAAATGGTACAAAATATTTTATAAAAAATATGTATATTTATTACTGCGAGGGTTTAACATTTTGTGATAATGTTTTGAGAATTAATATATCTAACTTTAGTAGGAAGTTTTTTTTTTTAAAAAAAATAATAATAAAAAAATTCTACTCCAGTACTGGACTTCACCTTTTTTTTTACATTAAAAAAAATTAGATTTCTCCAGTGAGAATCGAACCTCGAATACAGTTTTAATCATCTCATATCTTAAATCACCTAACCATCCAATGCAACCCTCTTACCTTTAGTGGACCCCGCTTAAACGTGGGTAAAATCACTCTCCCCGTTAGAAATACTTTGGTGACAATTAATCTTATATCTACTCTCATGAAACTTAACACCCTAAACACTAGACAGTACCCTATATTTTAATTTAATAATTTTTTTAATTGGATAATACAATCTATGGTCTGTTTAGTTAATTTGCAATAAATTAAAATGTACTAATATATAGTTTTTTAATTTATGCTAAATGTTTTTATTTTTTGTAAAAAATTAGTTTTAGTCAAAAAAATCATATTCTTTAAATTGAAAAAGACGGATTAAAAGAATAATATCATTATTGTCTAGCCATATTATTAAAAAATTAATATATTTATGTAAATCAATCATGAGTTACAAAATGTATATCTATAAATTTGTACTGTAGTGTTTAAAAATAAATTATTTATTTAAAAGATCATATAGTATATTTTTATGGTTATGAAAAATAGTAAAAAGAAATAAAAAAATAAAAATTTAAATAAAAACTGAAAAGAGACTATTTTGTAATTTTTGTAAATTTTTGGGGTTCTTTTTATGAATTTTTAAAACTATTAGGGTGTTTTTATAATTAAAACAAATAGAATTCCGTTAATTTAGACGGAAAATAGCAAATTGGACAAAATCGGCTAACGGTTGGATAGTTTAGGGTAATATTGGCTAACCAAAAAAAATAAGGTAAAATTGACAACGCATGTAAAGTTTTGGGTAGATCCGCTAATTTTTCCATCTCATTTTGTTGGTGCATATTTCTTGAATGGCAGAACAACAAAAAGGAAAAGAAAAATCATTTTGCAACGTTAACAAAAGTATAAAAAAAGAAATTTTAGTGTAACTGATCACATTGTTGAAGATATATTTACAATTCAAGTGTGGTTAATTAATTAGATCTTAGGTACATTTCTGTTGGGTTTCATCTGAAAGAAGATCCGTCAAAACTGTTGGGTAATGAAAGGCAGTAAATGATGTGGGCTGTAACGTGCCGAATAAACTTCTTCAAAAAAAAAAAAACGTGACAAATAAATAGATAACCAATGAAACATACGGTTTTAAGAGAACTTGCCAAAAAGTTCAATGGAAGATACAAATTTAATTCAACTTTCCGGTTTAATTCGGCTGAATATACAAATAGGGATGTAGGCTAGCTAGCCATAGACGGAGCTACATACAAAACCGGTAAGCCGGTTGCCCAACTTTTTTTCTTAAAAGATATTATGTTTATTTCATTTCATTTGTCCTGACATAAAAACACGGTATGTATGATAATGATTTTAGAACAGAAAAAATGTTACCAAACTCCATGATTTTTAGAAGGACCACTTGAAATAAATACAAATTGGAAATTATAAATGTTTTAATGTGATAATAAAAAAGTTAATAAAATGTTTTTTTTTTAATTTGAATTTTTTGATGTTACTAACAATTTGTTGTGTACAATAGACTACAAAAGGTAACTACTAGTGAGTATATTGAATCAAAGAGTAACTATGATTTGTTGCTAAATCGAAAGAGAAATCAGTACAATTGCTAGCTAGTACAATACAACGGCAAATGCCAAGAAGATAACATACACATGAGTTGAGGTGCGTGGGTTACAAAGTTGGAACGGTAAAATTAATTGTAAGTACAAGTTTGAGAATTTAATTTTGTTAAAAACAATATGTAATTAAAAATAATCGATTTTTTTTATTTTTATAAATTAGAGTAATACGTTTTTAATAAAAAAAACACTACGAATTGGGCTCCTGTTCACATTCGGCATCTGAAATGAAAGTTACTGTAAAAACCATTTACTGTATCTGGATTAAAGATTTTGTTTCCAATTATGAACTCCAAATTCTACCCAAATTTGGACTAAATGGGCCGTTTATAGTTTTAGTAGTTACTATTGTTACTTTCCATAAAGTGTGTCAATTTTCGCGGAATATTTCTGCTTTCCGGCTTTCAGTAACTTTTATACATATTTAAAATTCCCGGAAAAAAAAAAAATAAAACTACCATCATCAAGAACAGTAAGAAAAAGAAAGAGAAAAGAAAAAAAACAAATCCGAATCTCAAAATCACTCCCAATACATTCCCCACCTACTCAATCATCATCCATAAAACAAATCACCCCCAATCCCAAATTCAGGTCCCTTCCCGAATACTCCACCGCCACCGCCACCGCCACCGCCACCGCCACCGCCACCGCCACCGCCACCATGGACAACTCGGAGGCGCCGTCCTCCTCCTCCTCCACCTCCGCCGGCATCAATCCTAAAACCCCATTGCGGAATTCCTTTTCCGGGGTCAATTCCTATCACCCTTCCCCGTCCAGGACAATTTACAGTGATCGGTTTATACCCTGTCGATCTTCTTCCAATTTCGCCCTATTTAACCTCCCTCCGCCGTCGCCGTCATCCACCGCCGACGACTCCACCAATGCCTACACTGCCCTACTACGTTCGGCTCTTTTTGGCCCGGATGCGGCTGGGGTGGCCCCGCCCCCCACCCCCGATAAATTATTCGGAAGTAGTGATAAGGGTTCTCAGATTAGTTCTCCTAATTGTAATATTTTTAAGTATAAGACTGAGACTCGGAAATCTTTGCACTCTTTGTTTCCTTCTGGGTTCGATGATCAGCTCCCTGGTGTCTCCCATAGTCCGGTTAAGACTCCCAGAAAGGTCCCTAGGTCGCCTTATAAGGTAAGTATTTGGGTTTTGTTTTTTTTTTTTTCTATATTTGGCTCTCTTGAAATTGGTGTTTTTGTTGGATGCAGCGGCGGTGTTTTTGCCGTGTATTGTGATGCTAAGTTTTTTTGAATTGCCTAATTTTACTTGTGTTTTCTTACTAAAGATTATGACTTTGTTGTTTCATTGGTTTGAGGACTTATTTGGTTGATTTATGGGGTTTGAAATGTTGGAAATTTAAGATTTTGTGGTTGTTTTGGACTAGGTTTTGGATGCCCCAGCATTGCAAGATGACTTTTATCTGAATCTTGTGGATTGGTCCTCGCATAATGTGTTGGCTGTTGGATTAGGGAACTGTGTTTATCTGTGGCATGCATCCAGCAGTAAGGTGAGTATGTCTTTGTCTTGTTGAATTATAACATTGTGCTGCTAATTATGAGTTCTTGACATGCTATGCTCTGTGCAGGTAGTTAAATTATGTGACTTGGGAATTGATGATAGTGTGTGTTCCGTCGGTTGGGCGCAGCGCGGTACACATCTTGCTATTGGAACTAGCAACGGGAAGCTCCAGGTATTGCTGAAAATTATAGATATTGGTCAGTCTTGTGTAGTGTAGTTACGAGTGATTTTGTAGGGAATACAAAAAAAAAATTAACTAGAGAATGAAGAGGGTCTTTTATCTGTTCTATACACCTGTCATTTGTTGAAGAAAATAATCTGTTTACCTTTATTTGCAAGTTGGATTCTTTCTAGGTCATGTATAGTAGAGTGATATCCTGTTGTTTGATGCAGTCAGACGGCTAGCTAGCACTTTCAACTCCATTCTTCTTTCTAAACATCAATACGTTGTCATACATGAGATTTTTTAAGTCAGGTGTTTATTTCTAATCCTTGAATCCATTGCCATCATTGGTGTAGATATGGGATGCCTCGCGTTGTAAGAGAGTGAGAACAATGGAGGGACATCGTCTAAGAGTTGGTGCCTTAGCATGGAGTACATCTCTATTGTCTTCTGGAAGCCGTGACAAAAGTATTCTTCAACGTGACATACGAACGCAAGAAGATTTCGTCAGTAAGCTGAGTGGCCATAAGTCAGAGGTCAGGCTTCCTAGTCAGTTCAATGCCGTTATATATTCTGTTTTTATCCTTCATTTGATCTTAGTATCATTGTGTTCTGATCCAGGTTTGTGGACTTAAGTGGTCGTATGATAATCGAGAATTAGCTTCGGGTGGAAATGATAATAGGGTATGCAACCCTTTCTTTTTGTTTTGTAAAGTATCCGTTGTTCTTTTATCTCTGGATTTATGCCACAATTACAGAAAACTGCCTCTCTGCTATGCAGCTTTTTGTTTGGAACCAGCACTCAACACAACCTGTTTTGAAATACTGCGAGCACACTGCTGCTGTTAAAGCAATTGCGTGGTCTCCCCATATGCATGGACTCCTTGCTTCTGGTGGTGGTACTGCAGACAGGTGTATTCGTTTCTGGAATACAACCACTAACACCAACCTAAGCTGCATGGATACTGGCAGTCAGGTATAATTTTGTTGGGTTTCACTTCATCTTACCCACTTTAGCTTTTGCTCAGAGGTCAACTTCAATAGTAATTGATGTGCCATAACAATGTAGTCGGTTCTTCATTATGCTGTTGAATTGATGAGCTGTTGGATTTTGAAACTTTTATCTGTCATGGTTGAGGCATTACTGTTTTGTAAACTTGAGTTCGATCAAGTAATCATGGGTCTTTTGCTTATTGACCTTGATGTAAGTTTACCGTGTAAATGAGGATGTAATAATTTAATCTATTAAATGGGCTAAAGATGGACTTAGAAAAGCACTGGGAGGAGAAGGGGCCTTTACAGTTTCTTAACAGGGGGGATATTTTTCATATTCTCCAAGTAATTGCTTAGCTCACGAATGAAGTTTTGTCATCTTAATGACTATTTTCTGTGGTATAACACTGGTTTCTCTCACTGTGATAGGTCTGCAATCTTGTGTGGTCGAAGAATGTCAACGAACTTGTGAGTACTCATGGTTACTCGCAGAACCAAATCATTGTGTGGAGATATCCTACTATGTCTAAGGTAATGTAGTAGTGTAAATCTCATCTCATGTTCTACATGATGCTGTACAGGCTAACAATGGCATTAGCTTCTTCTTTTTTAACAATATGTTTGCTTGTGTACACTTTTAACAGTTGGCTACTCTCACGGGGCATACCTACAGGGTCCTATACCTTGCCATCTCACCGGATGGACAGGTAACTAAGTGAACTCTTTCTATCAACTTGAAATTTCATTATTTTAATTTTGATCGCATCTGTTTGTGCGAATTTGGCCCCCAACAGTTTCCTTTGTTTCATTGCTCACATTTTCGTTTGCATTTCAGACAATTGTTACTGGCGCTGGCGATGAAACACTTAGGTTCTGGAACGTTTTCCCTTCTCCTAAGTCGCAGGTGAGTATTCTTGTGTGCTACTGAATATACTTGTCATGAACATTGTGACATCGCAACTTGTCAATAATGAAACAAAGATATTCATATTCTTTTCTTATTGAGAAACCACTACAGTTACAGTCCCTTTTTCTTACCAACCCTCACTCTCTCTACCATAGAGTCCTATTATATTAATGTTTTAGACCTGTTCTTGAAATGTCTAATTCTGAAACAATTGTGTGCAGAACACGGAAAGTGAAATCGGAGCATCATCTTTGGGAAGAACTCAGATTCGGTGACTTGCAAGTGATTTTATGATACTGACTCCTGGACAATTATTCATTGTCAAATTGCTGCAAAGTCGATGTTACCCCTTCCATTTCCGATTAAAGAAGGGTGGCTGGAGTAGTTGCATCGTATATTTATAATTTGGAACTAGCGTTGAGACTCCCTACACGCCACCACTGCCTGGATAAAGCAGGACGGAGCTTCTGGTGATGCAGCAGTTTGATTAATTTACATTATTAATCCCAAAGTGTATAGTGGGGAGATGTTATTTTATGCTCATTAACACGCTCCTTTGCCTTGTGAGGAGAGAGAGAGAGAGAGAGAGAGAGAGATTGTGTACCGGAAATCAAATATAGCATGAGACTCTATGCTGTTCTTGTAAATAAATATTTATATTTATTCCTCCTTCCTCTGATTTATAACTTATTGTCATTTGTCTCCAGTTTATCTTCTTCCTTACAGGCAGTTTTTTCACACTAGATGGTAAATTTTGGATTTTGTTTCTGAGCTTGTGAAATCTGAAACAAAAGTTTGTTCACACAGATAATCTAATTCTGATCAGATTTGAGGAGTCTTGCAAAGTGGGAAAAAGAACGTAGCAGAAGAAAATGATGACAAAAAAAATAAAGTATTTCAGCTGTCCATATGCCTGATGGCTTCAGCACCAGGCAGGGAAGGATTAACTTGTACACTGTATATTTCGAAACCAAAAATACCATCCTCGTTAATGTTGGTCAAAGTTCTTGTATAACTCTGAGCAGCACTTGATGATGATGATGATCCAAGCCTGATAGAAAATGAAGGATAGTTTAGCGCTGCCTTTGGTATAGTTCTTGAGCAATTCACGCGTCGTTGAACAATCACTCTGACTTGCTGATTGGTTTAATTCAGACTGCACAAGTAAGGTATGTACTCATCTGGTTGGAGGTCGTAGATAAGCCCTGGATCACTCGCTCTGGATGGGTTGACATGCCCTGCACCAGTGGCGAAAACACTAGCCGGGAGACCAATTGGGATGTACACTTTTGAGAAGTGCTGCAACTCCACTAAGATGTGGACAAGACATTGAAGTGCCAGAGATTTATGTTAAAATGTGGATTTTGTATCAGTCCTGTTTTCTAACTGAGAAAGGCCAGGCTGCTAAGATATTAGCTCCAGGGCCAATGATATCAGGTTTCAAGATTCCTGGACTTGCTAAACTGGGGTGTCTAAAGTAGGAAAAAAAAAAAAAAAAGGAACTGCTGGAACATGAGCATCTCCACAGTTTCCGATGCCTTTTTTACTTCCTCTGGTGTCAGTTTTGCAGCGAAGTTAGTGAAGACATTTGCCCTTGCTGGTTATAGAATTGAAGTAAAATGTCTCTCAAAATCTCCAATTTCAGTTTTAGTATTTTGCTGGCAGGAGATGTACAGTATATTGATTGAAAAACCAAGTAAGAAAACGGGAGAAAACAAGGACATGAATTCCATAGAAGCTGGTCGATTGACAAACTCAATCTAATCAAAACATACGAGCTAAGACTTTTGTAGGTCATATCATATACTCCCTCCGTCCCAAAATTATTGTTCAGTTTGAGTTTTCATTTTTAGTTCAAATTGTACTAAAAAGAAATTCCAAACTGGATAATAATTTTAGGACGGAGGGAGTATCTGTTTTGATAGAACAAAAAGAATTCCTGAACGAAATGAAATTTTTTAGTTAATGTGGGCAATCAAGTTTTTGGTCTATCACTATTCTAAAAGGATCTCTCATAATCTTTACATATCGCATCCGTATATTTTCAGACAGTTGACATGGTGAAAACATTTAGGCACAAGCACAACGAACTAATCCAAGTTCTCAGGAAATCCAAATCCTTAAAACAGCCATAGATAAGAGTAACGAACTGCTGAGGTTTGTCAGCTACAGATTACAACTAGTAATGACTAATAACAGCATCAATAATAGTTGGCTTCAAAAAGTAAAAATTAAATTACAAAAGAATTCTATCTATGTACTGTTTGATTCTAACAACATTTACATTTCTAACAAGAACATTTTTAGAAATTTATGCACCCAATTATGTATGGTAAATATTCTGGTTTTCAACCAAATTCAAAGAATATTACTTCAACTAGCTTCGCTGTTGTTGTAGTCCCTGGGATTCAGAACTGTTTAGATTGGCCTGAGAGTCATCAACGTTGAAAGCATTTGACCAAGGGATCAAACTCATGGGTGGGAAGCAACAGGAGCAATCTTCTTGGCACGGTTTCGGCATTTCTTCCAACAGATTGCTTGTGAAACTTTCCTGATTTCCCTGGTGGTGGGCTCTCCTTGAGGAAGGTGAAGAAGCATCCATCAATGGACCCCAGCACTCCACCTTGTTGAATTCTGGAATGTTGGAGTGAAAATACACCCAAACCAAAGCTTCTTGAAGTTCAGGGTAACTCTTTAGCAAGTTCCCATCGGCATAAGCAAAGGCCTTCAGGACCTAATTATTCAAAATTGTTTAAAACAACGTTAAGAAACTTTCATCCCAGTCAAAACATTCTTTAAAGTTGAAAGCTTTTGTGTGTTTTTACCACTGGGAGTTCTTTGCAGAAGATGTAGTATCTGAGCCTAGCACACAAGTTTAGTAAAAAATGGCCTCCACTTATGTGACAATGAACATGAAGAGACATCTTTCCTTTCACCTTCTTCCATTCAGCCACCACTTCATCCCTCTGTAATCTGTTGTACCATCCTTGTAACTGCAAGATGAAATCCATCAAGTCGTATTAGCATCAGCTAGATTAAATTAGCCATCCATATTCCAGATTCCTCACCAACTTTAACCTAAAGTTCTAAAGTACAGATCACAGTGATCCTGGGCTTCCAATCCAAAATTAATTGATTCATATGGAATAAATCGATGTTGGGTTGAATAATAACAAAAAGGGTTGTTTCAATTTTCCTACAGAGTTAGAAATATCATTGGAATTTCATATGACACATATTAAGAGCACCCCTGTTTTGCTCTGTTCTTAACTCTCAACAAGGAAGGATCAAGAAGATTAGGAACAGTACCTGGGAATTATTGATGGTTTGTGAGATTGCCAAAGTGAGTTTTGAGGTGACATCACTGTGTGTAAGTGTGTATGTTCTGGGCAGTTTTCCAGGATGCTTTTCCTCATCAACTCCCAGGAACAGAACTTGCAACTTTGAAGCTTCAAATATAGCAGGTCCAAATAATCTGGCAACCTGACTTGTTTTAAAAAAAAAAAAAAAAAACCCATCTTTACCTTAAGCACCAAACTTTTAAACTAAATTAAAGTATCTAATAATTTCACAACCCCAATATTTTAATTGATCCAAAACCCTTTATCAACTGAAAGCCTTATCCAACAAGAAATCAATAAAAAAGAAACACGTAGTCTGAACTCACAGGGGAAGAAAGAATAACGGCCTTACAGGATTAGGGGACTGGTTTTTCTTGGATTTCCTTCTTGTTCTGTAGACAAAAACAGAGCTTTGCCGATCCTTTAACAGTGGGGAAGGATTCAGCTTGGAAGGCAGCAAAAGATTAGCACTCAAAGTGCCCATTCTCTGCTGATTCTGAAGAGGAAGAAGAATTCAATTGTAAGTTGTAACTCCACTTCTTCTTCAAACTAGGCTCCAATCCTTTGGGAGGCTATAAAAAATATAACGTCAAAATATATACAATTTGTCAATCAATTAGGTAAGAAGTAGAGAAAAGAAAGAATCTGGGGTGGAAATTTTGGGGGCTTTTGCTTTGCTTAGATGCTTTGGTCTACTTTTGAAACTTTGAAGTTTGGTTTTTGCCAAAGAAGTTAGCAACTGTATCTTTCAAGTCAAGCGGGTTTGTGCTCGAACTTTGGGGATGATTTAATGATTTTTAGCGGTGAGAAAATGGACACAGTTTATTTATTTATTTAATTTGTTTACTTTTGGAAAAGGATGGAGAAGTTGAGAATTGCGTACGGGGATCATAGAATACTCCCTCTACTCAAGTAATAATACTAAAAATAAATTAACTTATTTTATTGAATTCTAACTATTTTTCATAACAAAGAAAAAATTAATATTCTTTTTGTCACAAAATCATTGTACAGTTTAGAAGTACTACAGATGAATTGTGATGAAATTGAATCAACTCATTCATCTTTAACCAAAACCGTAATAATTGTCGGATCGAAGTATGTCTATAAAAGTAGTATAATTACTGTTATGATGATTCATGCCTTCTGGATTAGGAAAGGAATATTATTATTATTAATAATTATTAAAATTATAGCAATATAACAATGATGATGTAGTTTGACATAATTAGGAGAAGACGGTTGCTTGAAGTACCAAACTTCTGAAATGAGATAGACATGCTGCATGATGGCTGTTTTACACGTTGGCCATATTTTCCCATTCTATTTTAGACTTTTAGGCACTTTCGATGCCGACAGTTTTTCCCAATTTGACCCCAGTATTTCATTTTATTGGGTTTCTTCCGTCTAGTTTGTGACTATTAACGGAAAAGAATAATGAAGAGACCAATCAATAATTATAGAACCTAATAACGCGTCATCTTGCTTGACTCTCACCAAAGCTGTCGAAGTTCCCCCACCCATCCGCCCAGAGATCTTTCTTATTGTTTGTGATATCAATGCATCAATGTATTTTTTAACTCTTTGTTTGTTCTAAATCGTTTGCGATTAAGAAGAGGGGCTGAGATCTATGCTTTTTGTATCGTTTCAGTTCAAAATATCCAAATTTTAGATTAGAGAATTCGATTGAGAGCCAACTCAGCTCGCTTTGACTACTACGAGTAAGTAACCCGTTCCCTGTCTTTGCACTTTATCTCATCGTATAACATTCTGCGATATTTCAAAATCACCGTCAATACCTCGGTGTAGGTTCGGGATAATCCTTTGTTCCATAGCCCCGGGGCTATTTACAACTAGCCAATTAAGAATTCTCAGATGTACTAGTACTAGCACTGCATCAAAGATGCAGTCATCGATTCTCCCGAGGGGTCCCAATTGTCGCGAGATATTAATGACGAGGAAGGCTTTTTTGTTATGCTACTAAGACTTGTACTTGCTCTGCTATTCTGCCCAAGCCTGGCTGAGGAAGAATAAAGTAAATATTATGTTAGCTGTTTCAAACGAATAATTAATGGAAAAATTTATCCAAAAAAAAAAAAAAGACCATGAAGATCTTTTTCTTTCCTCTACCAACATGTAACGTGTGTGCCATCTAGGACTCTTGGTTTAAGTTGCCTAATAGTATGAAAATGTAGTTGAATATATGGGCATCAATAGTTCAATACCCTTCCTTTTAGTTTGGCCGGTTAATTTGGAGGTATTAGCCGCCTAATATTCTTTTTGGTTTGAAGTGAGAATGGGACCCTACATCCTAAATCCTATTATCAATTTCCTAATGTAGCAAATGTGCCTAAACCTTTTTTATCAAGAGCAATAATCCTACAAATAATGCACGCGCAATGTTATCTCTCTTAAATCATGAAGCGAAAAATAAAATTAAAGAGGCAGCGAAGAGTTGAAAAAGAGAAAAAAAAAATTAAAAAAATAAAAAGAAGAACAATGTGAAATATACATGATGGGAAAACACCCATTAAATCAATGTGAAGAAAATCATCCAACAAGGAGGACTGAGTCGTTTCATGTTCAACAAATATCTGCCAACAGCGACTAAAAAAACGTGATTTAATTGGAGCTGGTTGAGCCTTGAGCGATGGGCCGGTGTTACACTGTTATTGACGCATCACCTAATTGAGACCTGATTACTGCATTAGCCTCTCCTTTCCCAATCGAACTTCAGCACATATTCATCTTTATGATCATTGGTTTTTTGTTTTTTTTTTTAAAGCCAGTTTTGAATATCACAACTTCATGAGTCGCGTCTCAAACTAGGATCTTCTTGTTAGATTGAACAAATTTTTGTGCATATTTTATAAAAAGATTCATGCACTAATAAAGTGAACAATAGTAAAATTGGTATAGATTGTTCTGTAATATCTGACCAAACATAAAATGGTTCACCCACAAGACTTGGTCGCACTTGATTTCATTCGGAGGACTATTTTTCTTTATTAACAGGAAAAAAAAAATTGAACTCCAGAATTAAATGAAATCCAAAATATAATAGATAAATGTTTAAAAAAAGAGATAAGTACATGGAAACAGATAGAACTATTTCATAGTCCTCCTCCCATTTTTATAGTTCATTTTGTTTACAATACAATTTTAAACTATAATCAACTGGGTATTCCGAAAACACCAGACTCTTATGGCTAGAGGCCAATTTTGGTTTTCTCTGGGAATGCCTTCAATATATAAACTCTACAGAGCAGAATGTTTTTTTTTTTTTTTCTCTTCGTAGTCTTCTATGAATTATGTTCTCACTGATGATGTAATCTTACCAACCGGAATTACAGTAGAACGTTGATAAATTAATAATCTATAAATTAATAACTTCTAACAATTAATAATTTTCTCCATTCTCAACTTAGGATCAGTACAAAAAGGGACAAAAATCGATAAAATGATAAGATAATATTGTTTCAAAAAATCTCCTATACATCTATAGGTCCCAACAATACCATAAATTAATAGATGCCTAACAACAAAAAATTAATAATAATTAATATAATATATTTAGTCAAATATGAACTATTAATAATTGTTTTTTAGTTCATAAAGATAATATGAACTATGTATATATTTTTAGTGTTCAGAATAGTTTTAATGCTTCACTGATTCGGATGTAAAGATAACTGTAAATTAGATAATTTAGCGACAATTCTTTTTTCTCATACAAATTCTTTCAATGATTTATTAATTTATCGATTATTTAATAATTCGCTAAATTAATAAATTTTGGTGGTCTCAACCCTATTAATTTATAGAAATTTTAATGTATACCCTTTCATTTTGTAATCCTTAATTAGCGTGAGCATGGTTTTTTTTTTTTCTTAAAGGAGATCAATAGTGATTCTCCATTTACTCCCAGCGTAACTTGAACCCATGACCTATAGGTCAACATGTGAGGCGCCTTACCACTAAGCTGCAACTCGTTGTCTAGCGTGAGCATGGTTTTTTTCCCAACTCTTTCGCACATTTCATCTTCATTTTAATAGCCCACAAATTAAACTGACGGTTGTTGTTTCACTAAGAAATAAAAGAAAGCTGAAAATGGAGGAATGACCAGATGTTTTCAGAAATTTTGATGTTTGTACATTTATCCGGATGTCGTAAGGTTTGCTATACAGTCATCCGTATACTATGTGTGATTTTTCCTCTTCAGGGAGTTTGAAATGCTCTAACTATGAAGAATTCCAAAACTATCAGAAGGTAATTGTAAACAAGAAATAGGTATACTTGGTAAGGTGTTTCATAATAATCGGGTTGCCCTAAGAAAAATCATGAGCTTGCCTGGAAAGTAGAGTCTAATTGTCTAAGAGTATTAAGATCTTATCATCATAAGATAGTTTTATGAGCCACAGTTTCTTATAAGTAATGTTTGTTCGAGGAAAATCGAAGAAAATGGAGTTTTGTGCAAAGGAAGGACAATATGAAGAGTTGTCAAAAAAAGGGGTTTAGAAGAGAACCGTAATATAGCTGCATAGGTATAATATCCGATTCACTTTTTCCATCATTTCTTCTTCAGCTGGTACTCTATTTGTTCTATAATTATTGTATAATTTAAATTTTCACTTTGAGTACGATATATTATGAACTAGACAATAACTTCAGAACAGATAGAGTACTGAGGAAGTGAATGTTGTCCCTTAATTTGGTGTGAATCTTGTGCAGGAACTCCAGGGATGAGCAACAACAATGAAGAAGTTAATCCACACATTATTAATTCTGTTAAGAAATGTATTCCTTCCATCTCAAAAAAATAATTTACTTTTTTGATGGGATAGAGGAATATATAACCCTAAAATGTCTAGCTTATATATAATGATTATATAAATCACAAAAAAAAAAAATTGCTTCTTACCGAATTCGTAACAGGTTTATGAAAGTAAAAAGGCATTTGGACAAAAGTTCTATAGAAGCCTTTCTTTTTTTGGGTTACAAATAGTAAAAGTCTATTTGGATCAGAATTTTCTAAGAGTAGGTGTTGCAGATAAAAAAATAAAAATAAAATAATGCTTGAATTATCCATTTACCCAATATTTTTTTCCCGCCTTCTCTGATCTCAACATGCATTCAATATTTAGGATTATTAGGGAGTTTGGACATTTTCTGAAGTAAGTGGATTATGGACTTCAGTGGTTTCATCAAATTTCAACACTTTCTAGTCTCTTAATTATAGGCTTACAAATTTGATTTGAAGAATTTCTTAGTTGTTTGAAGGCATGATTAACTTAGCTTTTTTTTTAGGAACAGAAATGAGAACATACGATGTAATTTGGGGTCGTGGTCTGTTCACGAGTGTGTTGTGTAATGAAGTTTTGCAAATAACGAAGAAACTCTCTGTGATTCAGAATATCCCTAAAAAGTCATACATAAGGGTATTGTTCCTTGTCACGATAAGACCGAATATCCATTTTCACTAAATTGGATATATTCTTGCTTCCACTAATGATTTAGAAAAATTCATACCTCTTGGTCGAGAAACTCTCATACCCAAGTTATTATTATTCTTTTTCCTCTTCTATGTTTCATGCTCTTCTTTAGTTTCATCCAGTGAAAGAAACACGGTTTCACTTTGCACTTGTTACCACGCCAAATCTCTGTTCTTTTGCATACGCTGCAAACCCAGTTAACTCAGAGATACAGTAAAATTTTTTTTAATTAATAGTTTTTGGACCATAAAAATAATCCTTATTAGGTTATGTAATTTTCAATCGTTTTTACAATCCGAATTAAGTAGATATTGAATCTCTTCTCAATACTAATACTCTATAATTTACAGACTAAAAAACAAGCATTTATAATCATATTTTATTAAATAATTATAATTGTTATAGTATTATTATTATTTAATGCAATTATTGATTTAATATTATTGTTGGGATTATAGTTATATGCAAGATTTTATGAAACATTATTACCTTATTATTTTAATCAATTTTATTCATTGTGTATTTGTCCTAAGTTGAGACGCAGAAAAAACTATTAACTACTCGAAGTTATTAATTTAGCAATATTTTACTGTAATTGTTAAAAGTTTGCTCTCAAAATTAAAAAGTTCCTCTCAATATATTTGCCTTGTAATTTTTCCAAAATAGAAAATTGGTTAAGAAGTTTTATCCCAAAAATACTTTCTCCTGGGGAGAAGGAGAAGGTTTCACATTGGATGTGTTCCGAATTGATTGCAAATCTTGTAATTAATCGTTTTTCAAAAAAGTTTAATTAATATCATTACAAATTCCGTAGAAAGATAGGTCTAATCAGTTAAGTTGTACATATATGAATCCAAATAAGGAAAAAAAAAAGTAGTTATAAATTATAATCTGAAAACTGTCATATCTTCTTATAGAACATATATATTAGAACTTACTCGATCGAAAACTTCATGTAGGAAATAATATAGATGAAAAATAATGAACTCTGATAATCCATCATGATAAGCATGATTGGTAATTCGAAATATTGTGTCGTTAGTGATAACTTTTTTAAGAGAATTTAATATATTGAAACACAATGTATTGATAATTGATATAAAAAAATAGAAACATATATTTTTGTATTAAAAAAATAAATAAATAAATGATTCATCATGTCTTTGATGTAGAAAGATACTCGAACAAACAAATAAATGAAAAAATAAATGCAAAAGAACACAAATTTAATTAATAAAACCAGAAAAATTCATTCATCTTAAAGATGATAAGGAATTACACAACAAGACCACCAAAAAAAAAAAAAAAAACCGCTTCAAAAGCTCTTACAAGAAAACTCTAGCGAGTTACAACAACATCCAAGCGGATAAGACACATATCATATGAATACTCAGTAAACTCGTCAAAACTTTGAAATTTATTCAGATTTCAGAAATATCCATCAAGTGAGTTCCACGAACCAGTTGCATTTGGATCAACAAAAGAAGATGATAAATTTTCAACTCCAAATCCAAATGGTTCCTGGTCAGCAGCAAACGAGGACCCATTCTTAACTGATATGTTGAAATTCGGAAATAAATTGACATTTGGAGGCAATCCTTTTTGTGCTTGAATCTGAACTCTTTTGTCCAGCTCCTCATAAGCAATTTTCAACTGCTCGAGCTGTTCTACACTTAGCTCTTGAATAGGGGCTTGCCACCAATATCGATTCTGATCGGCTCTCACCATTTGTGCAAGTTCGCTGCTCATTTTCTTCATGGCGTCCAGGTGATCTTCCAGTCTTCTCAGTTCTTCATTGACGCTAATTTCGTTAGTTTTATCACATGTCAGGTTCGCCTCATTGATTGAGCCCTGAGAACCAATAAAATGAGACGCTTGAGTCTCATACTTCTCCAAGATCTGGCTCACACTCGGGGAGCCAAAAGAATAAACTTTGCTACCCGGAGAAAAGACCATAATAGCAATCTCTGAACGTGTTAGGGTACAGAGTTCGCTTGCTTTTTTGAACAAACTTACGCGACGTTTAGAGAACGTGACCTGCAGGCTGTTTTTGTTGGTCATTTTCACCATATCTACCCTCTGGCGACCCCGACTCCTTTTCTCGTTTACCATCATTTGCTAACAAAAATATAGTTTATGAAACTGTAGAAGAGGTTGATAGTATGCGTGACAAATGAAGAAGAAAAGACCGGGATTTTATAGATGAATGAAGTATAAGTTACGTGAAAAATGTCAAAGTCAAAATTTTAATCATAGAAATCAAGCGTATCAAGTTCATTTAAAAAACTACTATATTTAATTACTATATTTTAGGGGTTGCGAATCTATATACAAGGTAAATTACGTCAATTGACTTAGGTACCTAATTTTGAACTTTTGATTGATGTTCCGCACTACATTAGTCAAAATATAACATTTAGGGAGCATGGACTTTTTAGAATGCAATGATTTAGAAAATTATGTGAAATAAATTAACTATAGTATGAACCGCAACTTTTTTTTTTAAATAACGCAAGAAATTTTTGAGCCTTTCTTTTTTAATATTTTTTTCCTTTTGGGTCTAATCATTCTTGCAGTCATTTTATTTTACACTTAATTATCAATAAAATACCATAAGTTGGGGCTCCGTCCTTACTATATACCCTAAGTTCAAATTGTCTTTATTTAATACCAGAAGTTGAATTCTCTCTTTTCCGTCCATGAAACGTTTAAAAAGAAGACGGAGGCGTGCAAGTCACGTGACTATTATATAAGGTTAACGGAGGGGCATTTTTGCCTGTTAACATCTTAACCCACCCAGCCCCGTGGTCACGTGCCCCGCCCATGCCTCCCAACCATGTAGACTGTCTTTTTTAAAGCAACCCAACACCCGATCCAAACCCAGTCACCAGATCCCCAACCTTTCTTTGAAACTCAAAAATCCCGCAAGTGAAGAAAAAAAAATTCTTGAAAGCACCGGATCGATCTTTCGATTCCGATAAACATAGGTCCAATCGAAAATAAACAAAACCCTAATTTTGTTCTTATCCTATTAGAAAATCAAGCCACCACCATTGTAATTGTTGCGCTTTGGCGGAATTGGGGTGGATCTGACACGGAGCTGCAATCCGAATCCCCTCCCTCCATAGATTCCGGTCATGTCGTCCAGTAGCATATCGTCGGGAAATTTGATTTTGGAGAATGTTGTTTGCAGCAAGTGTAAGGGGGGGGCTTATGTGGTCCCGTCAAAGTCCAACGACAATCCTGGGCGGTTATATTATAGATGCCACAACCATAGGTTCCTGAAGTGGGTGGATCACACCCTTATTGAATCAAGTTCGGTGTCCCGTTATGCAAGAAGAAGGTTCGTGAATGGAGGTGATTTACATAGAGCTGTGTTGAATGGTGAAGGGGTAGACGATTATGGGGAAAAGGCTACCACAAGACTGAACAAGGGTTCGACAGAATGCAGCAAATGCAAGAGTACATTGGAGGCTGTCTTTTTAATTGTTGTTGCAGGGTTAATTATCAATTTGATGGTTCTCCTAATGGTGTTGGTTATTGTTTTTAGAATGTAAACTAGTGTTTAATGTTTTAGATATTTGAAGGAGAATCTATTTGTGGATGGTGTTATTGTTGTAACTATAATCAGAATTATTTGTGTTTAGAATGTACTTATTAGATTTCTGTTAGTACAGTGAAATCGGTTGGTTGGATTGTGTGTTTTTATCGTCGAGTTTAGTTCTTAGCCGGTTGTGTGTTGTTATTGTCGAGTTTAGGCTTTAGCCGGTTGTGTGTTATTGTCGTCAAGTTTAGTTCTTACGTTAATGAAAATCGTCGACTTTTGTTTGTTAAAATTGTTGACTATGTTTGTTATTGAAATTTGGATAATGAAATTCGCATTTGGTACTTCAAATCATCGACTATATGTTCTTGAATTTTGATGAATTGTACGAGTAAATCGGTTTATGAAATTTTTAAAGTTTCATATTTCATCTAATTGGAGTAATCCAACTACATTAACTAATCATTTCAATACTTTGGTATTGTTTTTATTGCCTCAATCATCTACCAAAAGTGTTGCAATAAATCAAAAGGTAAACTGTTTGGAGTATATGTAACCACTTACAAATGTACGCAAAAGTGCATCTTCCCACATTACTTGAAGGAATTTTTTTTTTTTTTTTTGGTTAACAATACCAAGGGCTTCGTAATCTACAAATGCATCCGGCATTTCATTAGGGTTAAACCTGATTACGGCAACCAACATGTCCAAAATACAACCCATATTTAACAACCATCTCCACACGACAGTTTCGGAGAATGGAAGTGCAAAATCTAAAATAGAATACTTAACCAAAATACTTAATTGTCCCAAGATCAACCATACTTGATAGTGTACTAACACATATGCCAAACGGCTTAGGCTTTGGTAGATTTTGGCTTCATTGTTTGTTCTGGGCACTCGTCATCCAACACAACGGACTCAGCCGTAGTCTCTCCAAGTCCATCATTCTTTTTCTTGAAAGCATGGGCAGCTTTCAGCCTGGCACTGCCCCTTCTCTTAATGGGAGCACAAACGTTTTTGTTTGCCTTTTTTTTCTTCTTCATTACGTGAGACACACCTGGTTCCTCAGATGAGACTATGACCTACCATGTAGATGGAACATATTCATGAGTTCTTCAGCAATTGGACATAAATTGAATGGAAAAAGTACCAGAACAACCAATATGGCACTACAGTACCCGTGCAGTAATAGCTGCAGTTTGTCCCGTTTGGTGATGACCCAAATCACCCGCACCAGTTATATGTTCCATTCGCCCCAGTTTCGTAATAGATGTAGATCGCTCAGAACTTTTAACAGCCTACAACAAGTGAAGTTTAGTCAATGCCTTTTTTCATGGTTGCACCAACATTAACAGCAAAACGCTATATAAACTCCACTACTTTGTACCTGCGAAACTTTGAATGTATGTTGCAAGTTGTCAACATTTGGAGTGTCCTCCACAATTGGATCATTCTGCAGCAAATAGGAAGTTAGTTAAGGTTAAAAAAAACAAAAATAAATCAAACTCTTGAAGAGTAGTATTAAAGGAAGGTATGAAAATACTATAAACAAACCTGTGGCCGCCTGAGTTTGTTGATAATACCATGAATAGCAGCATGAAAATCACCATTTAAGTTGGTGCAAACTGACCCACCAAGTCCCTCAACAGCAGCAGATTTGGACTTTTTTCGGCAATCAGACTGAAAAAAAAGGGAAAAAAAATTCAAAACTCTAATTTGTAATCCTTATTTATATATATATATATAAATATATATATATATATATTAAAAAAGAATAAACCCCAACTATTTAAGGAATTTACCTCAAATTCTGGGCAATCCACTTTAGTGTGACCATATTGCGGGCAGTAATCACACTTGACAAAGTTCTGAGGACAATGGTCAGTATAATGGCCAAATGCATTGTGCCAACTACAGTACGGGGTATTTGCGTCAAACTGTAGGAAATCATCTTCAAATTGACTTTCATCTGGAGCATTTAGTGTGTTTATCACCTGGAAGGCAAACAAATGAAACGTATTTATATATATATATATATATATATATGTATAATATTAAACTGATATTGTAATAGAACACAAAGGGTGAAACATTGTTCACATCACCTCGTCAAGCAAAATGACATCATCTGCAGTTGTGTCATTTGTTGGTTCTGGTCCAATAGTTTGGCCAGCACCACCACCCTCCATGTCCATGTTGTTATCTTGCATCCAATTATAAAAATCCATAACTTCGCATGTGTCGGCTGTGTGACCATATTCATCACAACACTCGCAAAGTGGCGGTATTTCATCATGTGGCCTTCCAGCAGCCATGTTTGCTTCTGTATCTCTTATTTCCTATAGTTGCAACAACAACACTGTCATCATCAAACTTGGAAAAACATCACTGATCTCAAACATAGGTGTAAACCCTAACATAAGAAAAACGTTCAAAACACTAAGGATTGAAAAGAGTTATTACCCGTCTTGCCTCCGTTGCCTTATTTTTCTCCCTTCTCTTCTCTGACGCTGGACAGATTGATACAAAGTGTCCTGTGACTTTGCAATATACACGGAAGGAGTTTGGCATTGGTTTCGGACCCCTTCTCCTCGTTTGACCAACACGTGGTTCGGCATTGTTGGTAGTTATTTTAGCCTTCTTAGGCTTGCCTTTCTTTTTTGGCTGAGGTGGATCCACTGGTGGCCGTCACATCACCAACGAACAAATTAAAAAGAAAACTAAAGAAATTAAAACCAAATCTCTATTACTTTTCAAAACCTGAAAAACAAACTACACACCTTTGGTTTGATTGTTGACAGCGAGATCCCAGCCTTCCTAGCTTCTTCTAAATCAGGGCACGTTTTTTTACTGTGCTCACCCCAACAATAACCACATCTATTTTTGCCAAGACCAACCTTCCTACTGGCTTTTAGTGAACCCTTTTTGTTGGTCTTTAGAGTAACAACAGCTTCTTTGTTTCTACTATGCTTTGGCCTTCCAGGTTGAACTTTGAAAAGTGGAGGCAAAATGGGAGGGTCTATTCGCTTTGGCCAGTACTTAGGCCCATTGATTGGATAGATTACGGGTTCATATGTCTTCAGGTACTTGTCCTTCTTATACCAATCACCCACATAGTTTTCTACCACATCATTCTTACCCCAGATTGCACAGATTGCATCTGGACAAGGAAGACCTGTCAATTGCCATTTCCTGCAGGCACATGTTCGATTATCCAGATCTGCACACACTTGTTCTAAATGATTCCTCACCTCATACTTCCCATTTCTAGCATATTCGCAGCTAAATCCTGTGGCTCTATCCTTATAGGTCTCCAATTTTTTTAAAAATCTTTGGACCAATAACAACAAAGTTTTTATTGATCCAGTCCCTCTTCTTCTTGTTCCTCTTCATCAGATATAGTCGCAGCCATTCAAACATACCAATAATGGGCAGCCTTCTTGCTTTTAATATGGCTCTATTAAAATCCTCACAAATATTGTTGACCAGCATGTCACGTTAAGTGCTAGTCTGAAAGTGGGCTCTTGACCAGGAACTAGGTTCTAATTCCTTCAACCACTGCCATGCACCTTCATTGTAATCCTTCAGTTCATCCATCAACCTATGAAACTCCATTTCTGTTGTGGCCTTGGCTATATCAAACATCTTTTGCTTCATCTCCAAACCAGGGAACTTCTTCTTGAAATTGTTCCACAAGTGCTGGACACAATGTCGATGTGATACTTTATTCAGCACTTGATTTACAGCATTCGTCAGTCCCTAACACATGCAAAGACAGCAAATTGAGTAAGCACACACATTTATAAACAGACCAATATAATTAAAGACTACATATTCTACAAAAGATAAGAGAAAGTGAAACTTAATTAAACAAGATGAACTATTACATTTTGATGGTCTGAAATGATAACCCATTCTGGGGTGTTTCAGATACCCAAATCTTCAACAAGCCAAGATAGAAACCATGTCCAGCTAGATTCATTTTCAGTCTCAACTGCTGCAAATGCTATTGGAAATATGTTGTTGTTTGCGTCGAAACCTACTGCCGTGAGCAGCTGCCCCTTACATTGAGTCTTCAAAAAGGTACTATCAACCCCGATAATTTTCCTACACCCTTCCTTGAACCCTTTTTTGCTGGCTGCATAACAAACATACATCCGTAAAAACCTATTGGGATCATCATCCTTACATATCACCTGAATTGAGGTCCCTAGGTTAGCCTTTGTAACTTCTTCCAGGTAGCACTCTAAATCTGCATATTGTTCTGTGATCTTCCCCCTAACCTTTTCAAGAGCTTTTCTCTTTGCATTCCATGCTTGTGTCCGAGAAATAGTCAGCCTATGCTCATTCAAAACCCTAAACTGCAGGTGACTCACACTGATGTTAGGATCATCCGCAAAATCAGTGACATACCAATCTGAAACTATGTCTGAGTTCACATTTCTGCTGTTGTTGACTCTTCAACAGGTGTGCTTGGTGTTCACTGTCCTAATTTGAAATGTAGGATCCTTTTCATCGTCAACTTTCACTCCATAAACCTCCCAATTGCAATTCTCACAGTATCCTTTGACAAACTTCTTATCATTTTTCTGAAAATTGATCTTTCTCCTGTCCTTTATTCCATGTTGTCTTAGAGCTGCCAATAAAATCCACTTGGTTGCAAATTGCTGATGCAGCTGAAATTTTGAGTTCCCCATGTCTTTCTCCGGGTCAAACACTAGGTCTTTTTGTTCATGGCATTCACTATCATCATCTTCATCACTTCTAGCTATGCTGTGCAGATCATCACAAGACCCACAATTATCATCACTTTCATTCTCCCCACAACCAGTTCTCACCCCAACATCCTCATGCCGTACAAACTCTGATTCACTTCTATATGAGCACCAGGTAGTCGATTCCAGCCTTTCATCGACATATTTCCTAAAATCTTCATCATCATCTCAAATTCACTATCAACATATCTTCATCTTCAATGTCCTCATCTTCATTACTATCCACCTCATTATCAACCCGGACACTCTTCATGAATGGATCAAACTCAGTTGAAGCTATCCTGAAAACTTCCACCAACCCGTTGGGAGTCTTCATCTCAATTAGTCTACCGATATCTTTATCATCTTCAATCCTTGTAAACTTGGGAGTGCCCACATCATCTGGCACAAGATATAACAATTTATGTGGCCTACAATACCCAGTCTTGTCAATTAGCTTATACAAAGCTTCAACTGTGAGCAACTCGTAATTCACGTCGTCAAAACACTCAGCCTCGCCCTCTACATATGCAAACAAAAGGACTAAACCTAACCTAACTACATACAGAAATGAATTAACTTTATGCTGTTACAGCCTTCATATCAGATATTCAAATTTCAAATTTCAAATTCATCCTGCCATTTGACAGTCGACTTTCACTGTTCAAAGTGACGTCATTGTACAGGTCAGATCGTATATGTCACCTGATGACGTCGTAGCAGGACTTTTTTCAAAATTCAGAATTTAAAAATTCAAATATCCCTAGAACTGATTAAATCAGATATTCAAAATTCAAATTTCAAAATCAAAAGTTGACATCACCGTTCACAATGATGTCATCGTACTGTCACCTTATGACGTCATAATAGAAAGACTTCGTTCCATTTTGTTTTTTGATCCCCATAACCGATTTGTAATTAAACCCTAATACAAATGCATTAAAAAACACATGTTCTAAACAGATTCTCAGGAAAAGCCAAAAAATAAAAAATTTTAAACACTAACACGAGAAGTTTCAGAAATCCAGATCTCCATAAAAGGCACATGGATCCCATAAAACTTTTAATAAAAAAATCAATCTGCACAGAGACGAAAGTTCTGAAACCCGATAAAAGAATTAGAGTCAGAATCGAAAAGACACACAACTCCCGTGAAGAACCAAAAAAAAAATAAACCCAAAATACTCAGATCTACCCAGATCTACTCAGATGTACGAATAGAAAACTTACCATAGCCAGGAGCTTCATGTTCGTACTCATCCGGAGGATTGAAGTCCACTCCTCTCCACATCCTAAGATGAACAAGCAAGCAAACTCAAACCTAAAACCTATTCAAGTCTCAAAAATCCTTTATTTTACCCACATTCGTTTTCCCTTTTTACCTTTTTGATTCGATGCCCTGAACCCTAATTTCCCCCCTCCCCCCTCTTTTTTCTCTATAGTTTGACTCGAGAAGGAAAAAATAAAAGTGTTGGGAGTTAAAGGGGGTAATGAAATAAGTGTTACCCCGACTGTAGCCTAGTGGGTCCCACATGGTTGGGAGGCACGGGCGAGGCACGTGACCACGGGACTGGGTTGGTTAAGATGTTAAAAGGCAAAAATGCCCCTCCGTTAACCTTATATAATAGTCACGTGACTTGCACGCCTCCGTCTTCTTTTTAAACATTTCATGGACGGAAAAGAGAGAATTCAACTTCTAGTATTAAATAAAGACAATTTGAACTTAGGGTATATAGTAAGGATGGAGCCCCAACTTATGGTATTTTATTGATAATTAAGTGTTTATTTTATGAATTTAGTATCCCACTTACTTAAATCTTATCTTTGTAATTTTTACTTCGATGGTTTATCGTTTTTGTAACTCTGAGGAGTTTCGTTGAAATAATATAACTTAGGATTAGAGGTTGACTAATTGGTCATCAATATAAAAATTTATGCAACATACCTATACGGCTACACCAGTTCATTATAATTAACTAATTAAGAAAAAAAATAAAATGAACTAAAGAACGTATCGCATTTGAAAAAGATGACGCTTTTATCTTGCTTGTGACAAGGAATTCTGAGTCTAGAAAGAGCAATTTCATGATGAATGTGTTGTACAACGATGCATTTTACTCATGTTTGTGTTCATATTTCACATTTAATGGATAGTTTTTAAATAATAAAGCAAAAATAACAAAGTAACAGAAGTATAAATAACTACAATCAACACAAAATAATTGAGAAAATCTATATGCGTGGAAAAGTAAAAAAATTAGGTCTACATATATTGACAGTGAAACTAATTACTTTTTTTTTATGTACTTTGTCTACGAAATGATACATGAACCTCGATGATTTTCTTATATTGAAACACGATGTGGAGTCATTTGGATATACTTAACCTCAGTTTAATATGTTGCCGGAACACGATATAATATTTTTCAATCTTTTTTCACAAAAAGTTAGAAGATTAGATTGAGACAAATATGTGACCATTTTATCATATCAGATGAATTTATTGGAGTTAGTCTGTTTATCTTATGCTATATTCATATGCATGATTAATTCATCACTACTCATTTGTTATCAGCTTTCCTTGCAATATTAATTCTTGGGGAACATTTTTTTTTATTTTTGGTTTACAACGTAAAACCGTAAAAGTCTGATACAACTATAGAGGTACAACCCGTCATTAGTTGTTAATATTTGGATAATTGTAATAAACGTCTTTCAGAAATAAGAAAATGAGTGAAATACCACCATGGAAATAAAAACATATTTATGAGGTATGTGTCATTATTTTTTCTAATTATTGCAAAGAGGTTTCAAGATATATCAGATAAAAAATAAATTGACAACAATATCACGGGGAAAAGTGTTGTTGTTCAATTGTGTTTTCTATAACAAGCTAATAGAGTTTAAGTAAACTGTAATAGGAACAAACTCAATCTGGGGTGCGAGTGTTAGGTGGTGTGGTTAGGAGTTTAGGAGGATGGATGATTTTTACCTGGACTTCGAGGTTTCGATTCTCACTGAGGCCATCTATCTTTTTTTTTTTTTAAGGAACAAACTTGATCTTTTGAGATTTCCATTCTCACTGGGGCCATCTAATGTTTTTTTTTAGAAACAAAAACATACTCGATCTTTTGATGAGAGAGAGAGATCAAAATGATAGTTTCTCTGTCTAAAAAACAAATCACTTTGTTATATTATTTTAATTTAAATAAAATAAATTAATTTTTGGAATGGTGGGAGCAATATTTTATTTTACGCATATAAAGTGATGTTAATGTTTTTTTGAGGGACTCAATAAATAATATTCGCTTGTCTCAAATGATTTTCATTTTGAATTTTCACTTGTAATATGATTTGTACTAATGAAAATAGAGGGAATACCAACTGGATGAAAATAAAACCTAAATCTCAAGATTGTTTTCGTAACTGGGGATATTATGAAAATTCAAAGATCTTGAAGAATTCAATCACTTGTATGATTATTTTCCCAATTCTTTCTTTTCTAATTTTTTTATTTGTATTTATGAAAGCTATGTTTTGATTCTTAAAAAGAAAGAGGTGACAATTGAATTAGATCAGTGTACACTATCACAACAATCATAATTTTATCTCGGGGCCCCACTACCATAGATCGAATCCAACGGGTCGGCATTGGGCACAGACGTATGGATAGACTATGGATAGCTTTAGTAGGCGTGCACGAGCTACGAGTACTTGATTGTTGTGGCCACTTGGAGTGACGGGTAATTGTTAACGGACTTGAATAATCATAATTTTAGTTGGTCACTGACTACAAAAATTGACATGTTAATGATCGGGTTGTGGTGCTCCAAAATCACGAGTTCCTCTTTAAAGAAGATGTTGAACAAAATAAAACAGAGATAAAACTGAGAATCCGATCATTTGAAGTGGAAACGATGTGCCTAAACATTAATTTTTCTCTTGGTTGATCTAGAATGGAAAAAAGTCTTTCTTTCTTTCTTTCCTTTTTTTTTTTGTGACTATTAACCCCCGAATTATGTCTCAAAAATTAATATCTCCTTGAATTTTTTCAGAAGGACAAAAATTCTTATTGACAGTCTCAAACTCAAAGTCAATAATCCAAATACGTAAAAAGACAAAGAAAAAAAAACTGTGACAATTCCGATTAACCTATTAGCAAGGGGAAAAAAGAAGAAGATAAAATTGAGATAATTAATAACTCTAATCATATCTTAATAAAACTCCTACTACCTCCCTCACCAAAGATAAAACAAGTACATACAATAATTTGTCCCACCTTATAATTAATTTAGGATATTTTTTTTAGTCTTTTGGCGAAAAAATTCAATCTTACAATCTAAGATAGCCTTCCACAAAAAATAAGAGATTTTTCTTGATGTACGAATTCAATCATGTGAAGATATTGGAAGTGGAAGGGGAAAAGAAAGTGGTGAAGGGATTTAAAAATAATAGATACACGGGTAATTATGTTTTTTAGATAAATAAGATTTTTTATTTATGATAATTGTAAGGGGTGTTTTTTACTTTATATACTTTAATTTACTTACATCATAGACAATTTTCCATTGAAAATTTTGCAAAAAGAGTGTTTCATCTGTTGATCGGCAATCAAGAGAGAGTTTTGTTCTTATAAAACCGTCGAGAGGGGTCATGTCTTTGGAATATGGCTGGGGGTGGGGTCAATGATTCTAATACAAAAACTGAGAAACTACTGAACGTCTTAATTTTTCCATTTGAGTACCTTAAAAAACCTTTAGAAGACTATTTTTCCCTCGCATATTTTTTTTTTTTTAAAAAAGAGAGGGGGCGATGCAATTTTGCGCCAGCCGTTCACGGCTGGCGCAGAAGAAACACGCCACCATTTCACGGGTGGCGTGCACTTTTCTTGGGGTGGCGAGCAATTTTTGTGCCCCTGAAAAGGGGGTGGCGCACCCCCCCGCTCCCCCCCGGTTTGCTCGCCTAACCGATTGGGTGGCGGTCCAACAGGCCGCCACCTTTTTTAAATTTATTTTTTTAAAATTTATTTATTTATTAATTCTTTAATTTATTTTATTTATTCATTTGGCGGTTAAATAAATAATTTTAACTTAAATAAATAATATTTTAACTTAAATATTTAGAGAATGTTACTTAATATTGTATAGTAAATTTATTATTTAATTATTTAGAATTTTTTAAACTTAAATAAAAAAATTAACATTTAATAACAGCTAAAACTTATGAATTTACTATCAAAGAAATTATTTATAAATAAATAATAAAAATACACTAATTATTTATATATTAATGAAAAATTTTCATTTACTACCAACTAAAAAATTATCATTCTCTAAATATCTATAACTCCCATTATTTCAAAAATCAATATTTGCCAAAAATTCCACTTGTCAACATATCCTTAAAAGTTATCCAATCTTTACTCCCCATAAGTTTCTCCTTCAAAAATACTGTTTTACATCCTAAAACCTATCCACTCTGATTATTACATCATCATTCGGTTACCAAATCAATTTGAACTTCAAAATAAAAAATAACTCCTATATTTGAACAATAAAACTGATTTGATCGGCATTCTAATCCAAATTCTAAATTTTGTGAATTGAAATTCTCTTGGCCAAGCGAAGAAAATCGAGATCCACTCTCCACTGTCACGGAGGTATTGCCAACGAAATTACCGTGAGTATATTTACATCAAGTGGTCAATCCTCCGTCTCCTTCAAGCTGCATCAATCCTCAATTTCTTTTCTTCGCTGGAAACAAGCAAACAAGAAATGGAGAAAAGATGCAATATTTTTATAAGAGGTCGATTGAGATTTTCCTTTTTATTTCTATTTTTTTATAACTGACGGTGAAAAGAATATTGAAGATGAGATTGTCCACCACGGCCTAAGGAATCATACACAATGTTACTGTGGTATTGCCTTATGATCTTCTTAAATTATAATTATAAGATTTTTTTTTCCTGATAATATATTTTAAGAAAAATTTTCAAAGAGAGCGTTTGTAGGATTGTTCTATAAATTCAACGCAAAAAGTTTACCGGAAAGGTAAACCCTTGCGCTCAGTTTAAATCAAAATCATGGTTTAGTAATCTCTATTCATCTGTATGATGTTAATGTCCCATTAGTTCATTAGTTACTGCTTCTGGTTTGGGTTCGGTTATTAAAAAACTCACTTCTCAAAAGTTTAAAATGAGTGCACATTATGTGTTTGGTTTTAGGTTAGTAATTGAACTACGCTTCTCACTTCTCTGATTTGCCAGTACTCTTAGCAGATGCAATGTTTTTG